TTTGCCGGCAGCCTCCAAAGTCCGTTGCTCAAAAAGGGTTTAGGGCTTAGGGTTTAGGGTTTAGGGTCGACCAGGCGCGCTGAGACAAGCCTGTGCAAAAGGGTTTAGGGTTTAGGGTGACTAGCTGACATGTGGTTCAGTTCTCTAAATTAAGGTCCCTTGTGGGCTAAATAGGAGGGGCCGCCTCATAATAAGGACCCCAAGAGGGACCACATCATTTGAGAAGTGGCCATGTGACTTCAAAGAGGGCGTGTTTGCCAACAAGAGGGCGCTCTTCACTGATTGCGTCGGCGGGCGTTTGTTTTCTCGGATATGACCTGGTTCCTCCTCCCACCCTTCCTGCCCTTCCCATCCCTCCAGACCCTCCCCAGAAGATGAAGCTAACTTAAACAGGCGTCCAGAGACTTTCCAAACATACGGTCAGATTTCGGCAGCTCAGACAAGCGTCGTTCACCGTTAATGCCTGTAGCACACAGCCATGAATTGCGAAAGGGAGCCGCAGCGACCATGGCATGAAACATGCAAGCTTCAAATGACCAGAGTTCCGGACTTGGGCTTCAGGGCGAAGGCTTCTAAACGAAGTGAAGCACAGCATATGGCCTGCAGAACGTGCCATGTAAAACCAATAGTTGCTTTTGCTCGTTGGTAGCTGGGTGACGTTCTGCGCATGCCACAGGTGCAGGGAGCAATTGTGGAGGTGGCCCTGTTAGCCGGCGAGGCGCGCGGGGCAAGTGATCCATCCCGCCCCTCAGACTGACCAAATGACACGCGTAGGCGTAGGCCCTATATAGGCTTTATCCAAATTCCTCATCAAAACGAAGGTTTGGGAAGCTTGAATCGGAGCAAAGAGCTTCGGGATCAGCCTCAAAATGCACCTGCCCTCACGTGGCCAAAGATCATCCGTAAGGCTTGCGGTCGATCTGGGTGGCCTCAAAACTGGCAACTTGAACCGAGTGAATGAAGGCCCAAACCCTAAACCCCAATGACAGCTGGGTGCATGCTTCATTTAATGGCACCAATCATGAAAACGCAAAGTCTCGGCATCGTAGAAGTTGAAAATATTGTGTGTGTGTGTGTGTCACGAAATTTGGTTGTGAGGCGCTTTCAGGGCGCCGCCTCTGAAAACTCATCTGCCGTGACAGGCCGAGGAAGCCTACTGGGAGGAGACGAACAGGAGAGCAGCTGTTTAGGGTTTAGGGTTTAGGGACATCTCAGGTCTGAAGATCTCCACCCAGCGTTCTGAGCCTGCGAACTCCTCGACCCACCAACCATTGACACGGTGAGGGTTTGGGCCGAGTGTCTTAACTATAGCCCCTCAGTAATATTTTAGTTTATGTTTATTTATATAAAGCCCAAGGGATATTGAAAGATGCTATTTGGATTAAGGTTCTAAGGGGAGTCTAGTACAAGCTTAGGGTCCCGCTCCAAGGCTGAAGGGTAGAGGGTTGAAAGGCTTCGGATCTCGCTCTCTCTCTCTCTCTCTCTGTCTCTCTCTCTGTGTCTCTCTCTCTCTGTTTCTCTCTCTCTGTCTCTCTCTGTCTCTGAGAGCTGCATCACGGGGGAGCAGACGGTAAGAAGCGGTTCGGGACTTAGGAATACTTGTTAGGGTTTACAAGTTTAAGGTTTAGAGTTTAAGGTTCCTGGAGCAAACATGGCTTGGGCTTCCATGCGCATTGAGAACACCCCGCGTGCCCCAAATGCCACAGGAAGCTCAAGGAAGCTTGGGAGAACCCGAAGCCCAAAGGCAAAGACAAAGGCAAAGACAAGGGCAAAGGAAAGGGCAAAGGCAAGAAGGCCCCGGATAGCTCCGGGCGGTGGCTCTGGGGCCCCTACTTAGGGGTTTAGATTTAGGGTTTATAGGGTTTAGGGTTTGGTGGCTCTGGGGGCCCTGACTTAGGGTTTAGGGTGTAGGGTTTGCTTGGAGGGTTCAGGGCCTATAAGTAGTGTTTGAATAGGGTTGGGCGATCAGGGAATCTAGGGTTGATAGGCCTTATGGTGGGGTTTTGAGGCTCTTCTATCGGGTTCAGGGCTTGAGGTCAAATAGGGTTTTTAGGTCCAAAAGCTCCCGATGCCTGGTGCACAAAGTCTCTTCTGAGCACCCTTGACTGGTAAAGGCCCCAGCAAAGCAGCCCTATCAGGGACCTTAGGGGTTACTTAGGACTTAGGGGGTATTTCGGTACAAAGGGACTTATACAGGGTATGTATCTAGGGGTTATATAATAGGGGACTGAGGCCCGAGCCCCGAATTAGGTTGAGGGGTGCCTGGGTATGAAAGGACCTGGCTTGATTTCCGCGCTGCGTCGCTGGTTGGTTGTTTGCACACCTTGCCTGTTTTGCCGCTGCCCAGCGACAGGGAAAGAAAGGAAAGCATAAGCATGACGACTGATGAGCATTTGGCCCCAGTGGTTGCTCCTCGGCCGCAACGAGCTAGCAAGCCTTCAATGCAGCCAACGCAGAACTGCCTTGTCTGAAATGGGTTGAGGAGTCTCCGCCGTGCACCCCGAAGCTCGAAGGACCCAATAGAACTTGCAAGCCCTCACCCGCCATCAAGCTGCTTCGTCTAAGCCAGTTCGAAGGTCAAGGGCTCAAGGAGCTTGGCTTTGCAAATTCGTACGGCGGGGGCGAGGGCTCGGGTCTCTACGCTTCAGCGTTGGGGTTCCGGGGCGCTTGTGAACTGAGGATGCAGTGCGTGCGGCTCCATAGTGCGGCCCTAGACCTGGGCCCCTCTCTACCTACAGTTTGATGGGCTATGATGGGTTATACCTGCAAATTCAACCCTAAACCCTAAACTGTAGAACAAAGAGAGTCGCAGGTATACCCTGCAGTCGCAGCGTGGCGCTGAAGTCTTTTCAACTGAGGGGCACTCGGAGGTGTGAGACGCTCGGGGGGCCTCCCTCAGCGGCCCGACGAGTCAAGAAGGCTTCACTTTGGGGTTTAGGGTTCTTAGGGTTCTTAGGGTTACGAGAAGCCTGGGCGTTGTTAGGGTTTGCTATCATGACGATATCCTGAGCACGTTCGACCCCTCAACCTTCTCTCAGCTGGGGCCAAATACACCCTAAACTCCCGCTCCAGTTTGCTTTGCAAGGGGTGCTGGGGGCTGGGTCACCCGAGCTACCTGCCTCCGTGAAGCTTTGCTTCAGCCAGGGACTGTTCTCCGCGGGAACTGCAGCTCAAGAGTGTCAGGGGATGTGTAGCGGAATGGGCCTGGGGGTGTGGGAGCAGCGTAGGGAGGGTCGGGGACGGGCCAGCATTGCCGGCACTGCAGAAGCTCCGCATCTTCGCACCTGGTGTTCGGCTCTGACAGCCAGTTAAGCCTCCTGAGCTCGATCAGAGGGTTAGTAGGGGGCTTCATCGCTCACATCCCAGGCAAAGATTCCGGGAAGCTCTGTGCAATACCGGTTTCTTCATGGACAGAGCCCAGTGCCAACTCCGGAGCGGTTTATAGCGATAGCCTCATAAGAGAGCAAAAGGGACTAGGGGTCGTTCCTGCCATTTTGGGAAGGACAGCCCTGGCTGAAACAAGCAAGTGTTTGTGAAGCTGCCGGCCTACCTATGGCATGCAGATCTGGCCAGTATTGCAGGACCTGCCCCTTCATGTATGCAGGAAACTCAAAACCCCCACGACCCGTAAAGCCTCGTCGAAGTTGCGTCGACTGGTGAACCTCCAAAAGGGAGGCAGACAGATAGACAGATGTAGACAGATGAGCCGTTTATGTGAGTACTATGTATGTGTGTATGTGTATATGTGTATATGTATATGTATTTGTATATGTATATGTATATGTATAGATTTATATATTTAGTTATATTTTCTTTCTGTAGTTAGAAACATACACGCAGACCCTGAATCGTCATTCGGGTGATGCATGAGTTGCTAGCGCGGCTTCGGCGCTTCCTGTATGCGGCGGCGTTGCATGGTTTAGGGCTTATGGCTTCAGGCGGCTGCGCAGGGCGAGCCGTCTGCCTTCATCATACTGACGTGTTCAGAATACCACCTCGTCCATCTAAGCTCCTGGCCCTTCTGGAGGGTTAGGAAACTAGGGCCACTAGGGAACCAGGGCTATGGGCACTAAATGAATCTCAGCAGCACCAACCACCTAACCCTAAACCCTCAACCCTAAACCCTAAGCCCTAAACCCTAAACCCTGCAGCACTGGGGCAACATTGAGTTTCCTGTTGCTGTTCATGTCACCATCTCGGATTCAAGCCCAAGAGCCCGAATCTCGAGTGCAGACCTTGAAGCCCAAACCACCTAACCCTAAACCCTAAACCCTAAACCCTAAACCCTAAACCCTAAACCCTAAACCCTAAACCCTAAACCCTAAACCCTAAACCCTTGGGGCACAGCAGATCCTGGCCTTCATCAACTTCCGCATTGGCACAGCGCGGGAAGAGGGCGCCTCGTGACCCAGCGCCGCGCGCGTTTCAGCGTCCAGCGAGAGAAAAGACCCTTGCAAGCGAAATTTAGGGTTTAGGGTTTAGGGTTTAGGGTTTAGGGTTTAGGGTTTAGGGTTTAGGGTTTAGGGTGTTGCTTGGTAGCCCAGTGGTACCCTTTACCCTTTTTTCGGGTTCTGGCTTCCCTTATAGAATAACCAACCCAAAAAAGGGTGCCCTGATTTATAAGATGGTTACTGGGCTACCAAGAAAGAGCGCGCAAGGGCGAGGCTCGGGATCTTGATGGCCTCGCTAAAGGTCTGATGGCACGTGGCCCTCCCCTCGTCTCATTCCAGCCTCCGCCGTTTAGGGTTTAGGGTTTAATTAGGGTTTAGGGTTTAGGGTTTAGGGCGGACGAACCCTCCAAACCAAATTCTGCTCAAGGCTTAAAGTAATAAGCCGGCCCCCAAAAGGATTGGGGTCAAAGGTAGGGGTCTTCGGCCTGGGGGTGCCCTCTCTCGCAGTGAGTGAGGTAAATCTTTGGCTTGACCTATAGCAGAGGCACTCGTTACAAAACTTGCTGGGCCCCAGCAGTCCCCTGCACTCGAATCTCCCCTTGGATGCAGGCCCACCTTCACCGCCGTGGTGTCCGTGTTGCAGGCGGACGGACGCTGGAGGCACCGAAAGAGGGGACAAGCAGCCAGCTGCTTCCCGTCCCGTCCCATCCCATCCCGTCCTACCTGCAGCAGTTCAACTTGCGGCTTATCCCATGGTATGCTCAAATACATGCGTGTGGCGTAGCAGGTCTTCAGTGGTGTTTCTGCTTTGTCCTACAAACCGGGATGGGCGATTATACCCTATTAATCCCTTAAAAGGCCCTATTATACCCTATTATACCCTATAATCCCTTAAAAGGCCCTATTATTCCCTATAATCCCTTAAGACTCCCTTTACAGGGTTCATTATGGGGAATTTTAGGGCCTAATCTCCCATCCTAGAAGTGTCAGACTTGTTGTTGGCATCATTATGGTTTTCGATTCCTTTTGGGCGTTGTGGAAACCAGGGTTCTGGGCTTCGCCTTCCGGTTGATTCGGGCGCCTGAACCCTAAACCCTAAACCCTAAACCCTTAGGTTGATCTGCAAAAACTCCAGAAACATTCTGGGGAATCCTGGGGATAGTTTGAGAACCAGTCTAGGGTTTAGGGTTTAGGGTTTAGGGTTCAGGGTTCAGGGTTCAGGGCTTAGGGCTTAGGGTTGAGGGTTGAGGGTTGAGGGTTGAGGGTTGAGGGTTCAGGAGGGAAGGCGACCAAGAATCCCGGCTCCTGTGTAAGATGCTGGGAGGCTGTCCCTGGGCATCCTCGAAGAGATGCAGGCCCGTCCTTACTTGCGCTGTTTAGGGTTTAGGGTTTAGGGTTTAGGGTTTAGGGTTTGGGGATCTTCCTGGTGCAGAGCTTGCCTCCGAGCGAGCCCACAGCATGGCTTCCAAGACTCCATGCTCTCCCACCTGCACCGAGAAATCTTCGCAGATGCTCACTTCCTGGACCCAGAGATTCTATGTAGGGTTTAGGGTTTAGGGTTCAGGGTTCAGGGTTCAGGGTTCAGGGTTCAGGGTTCAGGGTTTAGGGTTTAGGGTTTAGGGTTTAGGGTTTAGTGGCGCCTGCGAGCACGCGCGCTCGCGCATGACGCCTACAAGCCCGAGGAGCCCTCGAGACCCGGAACCTTCAAATCCCGAAGCTCGCAAGGACTAAGGACTGGAGACCAGACCATCCTGAAATCTACCGAACCAGAAGCTCTTGCTGAGATGTGACGGGAGGGGGCGCCCCTCAAAGAGGGTCTGTAGACTTTCATATCAGGCTTTCGGCCGGCTTGGTTCCATCAAGCCACACCTTAAATCTGAAACCCCAAAAACCCTATAGAACCTACTTAAGCCCCTAAAACCCTGAAATCAACTTAAACCCTATAAGCGCTAGCACCCCCCAAAAATCCTAATCAAACCCTGCTTATAAACCCATCCTAAACCCAAAGCCCTAAAACCCAATTAAAAACCCTATATACCCCCTATAAACCCTATAAATTCCTGTTTAACACCCACTTAAAACCCGAGAAGAGCAGCTCGGAACTCTGTCTAACCCTTGGAGGCCTCGCGTTTGGAGGCTGTGCCTGCCTGAGAGCACCAGACACCTAATCTTGGGTTCTCTTACAGGCTTAGGGCTTTTGGGGTTTAGGGTTTAGGGTTTAGGGCTTTCAGTTTGTCAGGGTTTTAGGGCTTAGTTTTCTTTCCTGGCCTCCTGGATGCAAAACAAGGTTTCTTTCCATGTCGCTCGAAGTGCTGTCGAAGCTTCTCTTTAGGTCTATCGAGACCACGGTTTTTATTGGACGCGTCGCACGAAGCACTGTCATGATGCTCCCCTAGGTCTATCGGACAAACCCGGGATGTTTAGACATGCACGCCTCATGTGCCAGCATGAGAGTCGAGAGGCTTATCTGAGTTTTTTCTGACCCATGGTTCCATTGCCGAGGACATCGCAACCTATCGCGAGGCCATCAAGACCCTCGAAGAGGACCGCGACGTTCATTACGCATTTTGGAAGTCAGGGCCCAGGTTTTCTGCGCTTTGGTTTTCATGTGCTGTGTTCCTGGGAATCCTAACGTTGGGATCATATTCCCTAGTGTATGCTCCTATCACCAAGGTTGGGCGTCACGCCCTACAACGGCTTTAGATGTTTTTTTTACGCAAAGTTGTGAGTTTAGATTCGGATAGTTTGGTGGAGCACCCAGGGCAGCGCCGTTTCTGAATCCCCATTTGCAACACGAAGTCCCTTCCAGACAAGTGCAAAGTTCAGGGGGCGAGTGCTCCTCGGCATTAGGTGGTTCCTGCCTGTAACCCCAAATACCTACAGTTTGGTAGTAACTACCCCTCAATTAATGGGTATACCGGTATAACCCATGCGACTGTAGGTAATTGGGGTTACAGGTTCCCCTTCTGAGGCAGCTTGGGTGCAGTAGACCCCTTTTGGAACCCCAAAAGGCCAGGATTTCGTTCCCTTACAGCACTAAGAAGGATGGCATGTCTGCAAAAAGAACATTGTGCTTGTAATTTTGTAAATGCAATAGTCATTCTTACATGTTCTGTTTTTCAAGTTTGCATATTTACTTCTACCCAAGTCGTGGTCCTAGCTGTTCAGTTTGTATTTCTTTTTTTGTGAGGGGGTGGGTGGGTGGGGGGGGGGGGTTGTTTGTGAGGATACCTACTGGAGCAAAGCGCTCGACATGATCGATGAGGCCTCGCACTCTGTGAAAGATCTGCAGATTCCATGATATCATGGGTTTTTCCCGTGAGGGCGAAGGGATGCTGTGTTGGGGCGCCAGTTGCTCGCTCAACTGTCACCTCAGCTTCACAAGGAGGGGCCCCCTAGTTATAAGTAGAGTTATAAGGACCCTAAATTGGGTTATAAGGATCCTAAATTAGGTTATAAGTCCCTTAAGTACAGTTCGTATAGTAAGGGGGCCCTTCCTTGCAGGTTTGGTGTTGGCCTGGTTGTAGGGTTGTGGACCAGCCGCAAGACCACACGACAGGTCCGAACGGTCCGTCTCCGGCCGGACCAGGAAACCATCAGTGCTGCCATGGAGGCACACCATTGAGGGCCTCTGAGCTGTGTAGGGCCGGGCGAAAAAGCTTCACAAAACCCTGTATTTTGCCCAGAAGCCACCACTGGTACAGTAGTGGACGTGCGTGGGGTGGGGGGGGGGGGGGGGGGCAGGGGGGGGGGCGGGTTGGACGGCGACGGCATGAACGTCAATACATACAGACATACATACATACACATAACTATACATGAGTATTCTTTAGATTTGTACTCGTAATTATCTGTGCATACACACATATATTATCACAATAACGGCAGTATACCAATGTATATGTATCTGTGCATATGTGTATGCATGTTATGTATTTACTTTCCACTCAGTCCGGGCGGGTGTTGGTCGCAGCTTTGGCATACACCTGCTCAGTCCGAGGCATCTCGTCATTTGGCCTGCGTTTGGTGGGGGGGGCGGGGGGGATGGATGGAACTGTTGAGTGAGCACTCGGAACAGAAAGGTGCCATACATGCACCCAGCATTCGTAGAGGAATCTGTGGACAAGCGTGCTGGTCAAGGGAAAAAGCCCAGCGGCGATGTCTGCGGAGCCCCCTGAGAAGCTGGGAGGGATCGGCGCCTTGGGCAAGGCTTCTTGCACGTCCCACCGCATGCAACCGTCCGCTTACTCGCTTACACCTAAAGCCCAAGACAAACAAGTGGTCAGAGACGTTTATGATTTCTTTCAACCGCCAGATCCCGTGAAAAAGTCCCTGTTTTTCTCAGAACCCTAGTTTGTAGAATGCACTCTGGGGACTGGGGAAGCTACCAGTGTTGAGAAGGGATGCGGCATATTTGGCAAATTCTATCGGAACCCAACCCGTCTACGTGGCAGTAAGACTAGCAGAGCTTACTGGAAGGCAGGCATGATTTAAACACCTAACACTGGGGCAAACAAACCAACAAATCCCTCAATCCTGGGCCATGGAGCTACGGCCCTGGTTCTCTGCACTGAGCCACGTCCAGGTCCTCCAAACGGCTCGCCAGACAGCCGGGGCCTAAACGTCCCGAGATGAGCCAACAGTTTCCTCAAAAGCCCACAAACCTTTCTTAAGCCTGATATTCTTGCAAAAGAGCCAAAAAGAGTTGGAAACCTAAATCCTAAACCTTAAACCCCTCAAAAAACCCCGAAACACCGAAACCCAACATTATCGGCTATTCCCGGTAATGTTGGGTTTCGGTGTTTCGGGGTTTTTTGAGTGGTTTGGTGATGTGGTTTTCCTGAGCAAGGGAATAGCATGCAATTCTACAGGTCCTGTAGTGGATCCCCCTTTTTCCAACTGGACATGTCATCGACGTAACCCTGCCTTGCGGTTCGGCCAGCTATGCGGGAGCGAAAAAAAACCCTCAACCCTAAACCCGAGGGAAAAAATTGCCAACTGCCCGAACTTTTTCCACCGCCCGAGGCCGGAGCACGGCGACTCGAGGAGGAGCTCTCCGTCCTGCGCCTGAAGGCCGCATCTACCAATTGCTTATAAGAACCGCAGGGTTTAGGGTTCAGGGTTTAGGGCAAAAAAGTGTGTAAGAAATATTCTTCCTTACAAGGGTCATATAGGGAGTATTGTTTTGTTTAGATATTCTTATAAGGGTAATATAAGGATTGTTAGTTTTTTTGGGGGGTTTTTGGGGTTCTTAAGCAAACAGTAGGCGTGACGTGCGCGATCTCGGGGTGATCGGTTTCTGTGTTGCTGGGTGCAGGGTGCGATACTTTCACTTCTGTCCTACATATTGCAGTCAAGTCTTTGTGATTTTCGTAAGGCTTGCATGTTACAGCCTCAGGTGCATGCAGAGCCAGAGGATTCCTAGGCTTCCCTCGTTCCCGTTTAGGGATTGTCAGAATCACTGCGGGTTCCAAAAGCTTAGTACAGGGGTCGGAATAACCAATAGTAATCCCTTATTCCCCCTAATATTAACCCCCCCCCCCCCCAATAGAAACTCGAAATGTGTTTTCATTGTTAGGGGGAGGTTTTTTATCCAAAAGTCATGTTTGGGGTCCAAAGGGTTTAGGGTCTAGGCTGGGAAGGGAGGGAAGGGAGCTTGAGGATGTTGGTTGGCTTGCGGATTTTGGGAGCCCTGAACCCCCCCCCCCCCCGTATTCGGGATAGGGTTTAAAAGGCGGGGTCGGTTTCGGCAGGATTTTCCGGAAAGTGTGTTTATAATTAGGGGGGCGTTTTAATAAAAGGGGGAAGGGATCATTCCCTTATTGTCCCTCTGTAAATGTGTAACAACCCCCCAAGACCCTATTCTCGTTCTTCAGGCCCCTATAGTAGTGATTTCTGTGCACCCCTTTTTCCTCCGAGCCGTCCTGGGCACCAGAGTGCCCCAGACTGGAGGACCAGGACGTGGAGGGCAAGACCGAGGGACTCTCTGACAGGCACAGCCGGGGGATTCTGCACGAGCCGGTGTTTGTCAAGGGGTCCCACTGAGGGATTTCGAGTTTTTGCTCCTTTTTGTTGTGGGTGTTTCCCCCTGGCATCATACCCAGCAAGGCCACAACCCTCAAAGCAAGAAGTAGAGAGCTAACAGCGGCATTGCTTCTGTGAGCGCCCAGAGCGCGCGGCAAGAGAAGTTGGGGATGTCTCCTGCTGAGGCTGCTGCGCCAAATCGGCATGGCTTTTCACTCCGTCTCTGTGAGCGAGTCAAGGGAGTTCCGAGGGAGTTCTCTTGCAGCAGGACAAAAAGGGCCGCAGAGGAGCTGGGCCAGACTTAGGAGCACCCGTGCCTCTCAAATCATGAGATTTTGCCTTGCTCCGGGTTTGGGACCCTTTTTGAAGAGTCCTCTAGGGGAATATCAGGGCCATATGAGGAGCACATTCGGGGAAACCTCTTAGGGGTCCTTAGGGGTTCGAGTATGACTCAAGGCAGAGACTCGTCCAATATAGCGGCTTCGCGATGGGGTTGTATAAGGCTGACAGCTGGGGGTTGACGCCCACCGAGTGCAAGGGGAACTCGTAGAAGGGTTAGTGGGGGGCGTAGTCGGGGGGTAGTACGGGGCGTAGTAGGGGTGGTGGGGGGGGTAGTGGGGGGAGTGGTAGGGGCCCTTCTGGCTCAAGACCACCGACCGCCCCTTCGTCGCCATATCTAGGCAAACAGAGAAGTGATGGCAGGCCCATGCAGGCCCTAAACCCCGTGACCCACCTTTTGCAGCAGCCGCCTTGTAGCTACGCTTAAAAACTTTTCTTTAGCGAGGGAGTCGGACACACCCCTCAGAGTTGTAAATGAATTGATAGTTTCGATGGAAAAGCAGGGGATCGGTAGTGAACGGTCCACAAACAGGGGGGGGGGGTCAGCATTGAATGGTTCAATGAAGGAGGGGGGGGGGGTCAGAATTGAATGGTCAGTAGCTCTGTTGGGATGTACTTGGTGGATAGCTTCACTTCCAAGAGTGTGTGTTCAACAGACAGCTAAGTCAGCTTGCTTGACTTTCCGACTTGAAGTGTTGGGCTGGAATGTTTAAGTTGTATTAGTAGCTGGAGGATTATTGTTATACTTTTGCTGCTATACCTTTTGGTCCCCAAAAGGAAACCGACACCTACAAAACCACGATTCTTGACTACCGATCTGAATGCTTTGTGAGGTCATGTGACGTGATTTGTTGGTTACTAAACCCTAAACTCTAAACCCTAAACCCGGGTATTTCGAATTTGCGGTTCGGGCAATCTACTCCAAGTTTTTTACACTTTGCCCGCCAAGCTGGCTTAGACAAATCAGTTTCTATAGCCGCATGTTGCAATCCCAAGTGACACTGCTACAAGAAAAAGTGTTTAAGACACCCTACTTGTACCCACATCCACGGCGAAAAAGCAAAGCAAAGCTTTGTGACGCTTCACCAGTGGATCAACAAGGCGGCAGATCCCAACGACCTCCAACTTTCCCAGATCTTCCAAAACCCCCTTCATTAAGGAGTATACCCTAAACACACAAAGGATCAGTATTCTGAATTAGGGTATATACTCCTTAATTAAATCAGCTCTCAGCCTGTTGCGCCAATGGCCAAGCGCCAGCACTGCGATGTGGGCACGGAGGAGGTGAAGGGTGGGTGTTAAAACTGTGTGGTTGTGGGTCAAGCTCTTGGTTTTAATTTTTCAAGACTTTAGATGGTGCCTAATGGTTGTTCAATGGTTTTTACTCGCTGTTCTTTCGTGGCTTTGACAAGTTTTACGAGCTAATGTACGGGGTACGTTTCATGTGATGTTGGCCATGTCTTTCTGTATAAAGGCTAGCATCGGATAGTCACTGGAGCACGGGGGTTTTGACAATTCATTGTACTCAAACACAAGGTTCTTGTTGGCAAATAAAGCAAGGCGAGGAATTGGGAACGTAGAACGTGGCTGCTTATATAAGCGCGGAATTGCGCGGAATGCATGGAAGTGCTCGCACTGTTTACATCTCAAAGACAGTTGACCCAACAAGAAAAGAGACGAATCGAGTCATCAGTCGGAAGCAAAGAAGTTAGAGGCCATAGGCGTCTCGGTAGGTGAAAAACCACCAAAGAGATTCATATGTTTTTTGGGATGAGGAAGGAAACGAACACCCCACGGGATGTTTTTCTCTTAGAAAGGTTTTGCAGGTCCTCAATATAACTACACAAACGTGTTCTTAAGGTTTTATCGTTTTTGAACGCTTTTAGGTTACGAGCTACCCGGTGTTTGATAGACACTGTAGGAGAAACACGTGCTGAGCGTCATGGTTTCACTTCCCAGCGGACGCAGCACAACCGTCTCAGTGCCCCGGCCTTTTCGTTTCGGGCTTGCATTTTTTGCCAAAGCGTTCAGCGGAAGATTTGTGGCATTTTCTTGAGATAGACTTGCAAGTGGGTCAAAACGGGTTTGGTTCCCGCCCTACGGCTTGGTCTATTTTGAAGAGTTGAGCTGGGTGTTTGCTAGTGCTGACTCACGAGTTGATGTTCAACTAGTTTTGATCTTGACAACTGAGGTGCCTCTGACATCCAAGATTCTCCGAATCAGCCTGGCAAGTCTTGCTCATGATACGCACGTTTTCTTTCTGAGGTTTGGAGTTCTTTTTGTGTCAAACTCAGCGCTGTTGGTTTGGTTCAGGCTTCATTTTGTGTGAAGCTGATGGCTTTTAATTTGTTTTGGCTGTTTGTCAACTGTTTAGTCACTTTCAGACAGTGATCGGAAAGCCAAAGCCGAGGATTGCAGATCTGAAAGTTGCTGCCCAGAAGTCTTTGGGCCAAGGCTTCTTGCGCCTCGTTGCTCCGGATGGTCGTGTTTTCGATCCGCAGCAATCTCTTCAAGACGTGGGGTTGGAAGAGGGAGATGCTTGGAGGTTGGAAGACTGAATGTGACAGAGAAGTAGCATCTGTTTGCGTGTTTCTCCTTACATCCTACGTGCAAAAAACAATCGCACTTGATGGTGAGAGGTAACCCCGCCAAGCTTTTCAACTTTGCAAATGTAGATGCAGCGTGGTGCTTTCATTTCCTGGTAAATATTGCCAGCTTGACAAGCTGGATGCTGTTCACGCGCACATGTGGCGTTACACCAGGAGCACATGTTGAACATACCTCTGCATGAGATAAAGACATGACCTGTTTTGCATCAGGGAAACCCTTTTCTACTTTGCCAGTTTCCTGTGTTTTTCTCTTCCCCTTCTCTTCCAATCTCCTTCTAAGTTCGGAGTTTTTGGTTACAGAACAACATGCATCCAAAATTGCTAACATCTAAGAAAGGAGAGCCCCCAGGCGTTTCACACTCCAAGGACAATGTCACTGCAGTGGCACAGACGCTCTGCGCTGCTGCGACAGCTCGTGCCTTTGCTTTATGGTGTTGTGGAGGCGATCGAGTTGTCACCTGGGGCAAGGAAGTAGCTGGTGGTGACAGCAGCGAAGTGAAGAATCTATTGACCAACATTCGGCAGATTGAAGGCAAAGATACTGTTTTTGCTGCCCTTCTTGGCGATGGGTCTGTGGTCACATGGGGCACCTTCCATGAGGAGGAGAGCGGCCCCTGGATTGAAGTGCCAGCTCAGTTGACAGATGTGCAGAGCATTCATAGCACAGGCGATGCTTTTGCAACACTCCACCGTGATGGAACCGTGTCTACGTGGGGAGGTAGCCGATTTGGCGCTGACAGCCGTCAGGTCCAAAGTCGACTTAGAGACGTTGAAACTGTGTCATAGTTGGGTACCATTTTACATCTTTACATAAGGGTACTTAAACACAATAAGGAACCAAGATTAGAGTTTTTTAGTATTATCCCAACCATGGACTAGGAAAGGATATTTGCAAGCCATGGCGCCTTCGCAGCACTTCGCCGGGATGGCTCTGTTGTTACATGGGGAGATCCCGATATGGGTGGCGACAGCCACTGGTTCATGGTTGGGATAGTATTAAAAATTTAAACTTATATTCCTTATTGGGTTTAAGTACCCTTAAAAATGTAAAATGCTACCCAACTATGACAAAGGCCATGGAGTGCAGAAGAACCTTCGGAATGTCAAAGAGCTGGTCGCTGGATACTATGCTTTTGCTGCAATGCTTGATGACAGGACGGTGATCACCTGGGGTGATCTTGACGAGGGAGGTGATAGCACCTCAGTCCAAGAGCAGCTGAAAGACGTGGAGAAAGTTCACAGCTCAGGTCGCGCCTTTGCTGCTTTGCTAGAAAGCGGAAGAGTTCTTACATGGGGCAAACCAACAGAAGGTGGTGACTGCAGTCTTGTTCAACGTCAGCTTGAAAATGTGCAGAAACTTGGCGCTTGCGGCGAAGGGTTTACTGCGGTTCTGGATGATGGTTCGGCTGTCGTCTGGGGCAGCCCATACTTACGTGGCAAGGTAGTCACAAGCAAGGAGATCAAGGAGCCACTCAAAGATGTCCGGCAGATATGTGGCTCAGGACAAGCTTTCGCTGCCCTACTTGGGGATGGAACAGTTCGTACCTGGGGTCGTGAAGATTCGGGTGGTGACAGCAGCCTGGTCGAAGATGAACTTCACCACGTTGTGGAGTTGCATGCTGCGCAGTATGCGTTCTGTGCTCTTTGCAGCGATGGGCGAGTTATCACATGGGGCGATCCAACGGAAGGTGGCGACTGCGAATATGTCCAAGAGGAGATTGACTGCTTGTGACATGCCGCGCCTGACCCGGCGAAAGCTTGCATGGATGTTGAAAAGGCAGCTTTGTAGCTTGATTTGTTGCTGTCTGAGAGGCTCAAGACAGGGTCGAGATATTGGCGCCGCCAACTTCTCTTCAAAGATGAAGGTTTTTTGAGCAACTTCACTTCCAATTGAGTAAGAGTTTGGGTTCAACAGACAGTTTGCTTGACTTTCCCGCTTTACAGACGATAGATACAACACGCTTGGAGTAGACAGTTTAACTTGTTTTACTTATTGTTATGCTGTACTTTTGGTCTCCAAACGATTCCTACGAGCAATCTGAGGTACACCCTCTGCAGCCGACATAGATACCGATAAATGCATTGCGAGGTCATGTGACGTGATTTGTTGGTTACTTGCATAGAGTCAGGTTTCTGTGGAATTTCGAGTTTGTGGCTCAGGCAATCGACTGCAAGCTCCTTACACTTTGCCCGCCAAGCTGTCTTAGGCAAAGCAGTTTCGATAGCCCATAGCTGTTGCATGCTGCAACCCCAAGTGATACTACTACTACAACAAAAAGCGTCTAAGAAGCGGCTGTTTTTTGCACCCTACTTGTACCATCTTGTACCTACTAGTGTTCCTTTCCCTCGCCCAGGGTGAAAAAGTAAAACGCAGTTTTGCGAAGTTTCACCGGTTTTGACTTTTGGATCAACACATCTCCATCAGATCCCAACGCTCCCAGCTTAGCTCTTCTCAGCCTTTTTGCACCAATGGCCAAGCGCAAGCACTGCGAAGAGGGCACAGCAGAGGAGAAGGATAGATGTAAAACCGTGTGGAGGTGGGGTCACAACGTAGGTTTTGTTTGAACGATTTTCCATTAAAGTTTTCATTGGGTTTTAGTGGTGCTTAATGCTCGCCTAGTGGTTATTAGCAGTTGATTAATATCCAGGTACCTTTTTAGGATGAGGAAACCGACCACCCTACAGGATGTTTTTTTCAATCTTGCATGAAACTACACAACAAAAGGTTCTCCTATGGTTTTGTCGTTTTTGAAAGCATCTCTTCAAGACGTGGGGTTGGAAGACGACATGCTTGGAGGTTTGAAATCCCAATGTGACCGAAGTAGCCTTTGTTTGGGAGTTTCTCCTTGCATCCTCGTGCAGGGCAACAATCGCAATTGATGCTCCTTTGAAAAGCTAGACACATCTGTTCACCTGCACTCATACCCCACTCTTCGACCTTGATGGCATTTTTCTTGTATTTGCCGTATTTGCCCCCTCCCATTCTCATTGAACCTTATTCAAACTTCCTCTCTTGAGTTCGCTATTTCTAACCAGAAATCATGCATCCTTCATGCAAAATTGCTATCATCTATGTTTGATCAAATTACACACTCATAGGACAATGCCACTGCAGTAGCACAGGCGCTCTGCGCTGGTGCAACCGATGGTGCTTTTTGCATTGTGGTGTTTCGAGGCGATCGAGTTGTAACCTGTGGCAAAGCAAGAGCCAGTGAGTTGCAGTCCCAGCATTATTATAGATCGCGGTCTGTTCGAGCGCGGTTGCTCCACAAAAGCCCGTGTTTTGCACATCTGTGTGCTCTCGACCGGTGTTGTGCATGGCTCTTGAGGTCCAGCTTGCGATCTCCATGAATGCGTTTTCAAACTGGCAACTTTCCTGTCAGGCAACTCTTGTGTCAGGATCTTCTCATATTTTGGAGAGCCCCACGGCGGTCTCGCGCATGGTGCTCAATATGTGAAGTTCTCACGTCTTTCGTCTCTCAATCGTGTGTTTTGGATAGCTCTTGAGGTTCAGATATCGATCTCTATGAAAGCATGCTTACACTGCCAACTTCACTGCTGCGGGCGTATGGGGGACCCACGTTGGCGTCAATCCAGGCTAGCTTTCGTTGTCGTGGCTTTGCCCTTCAAGTTACTCCCCTTTCACCCCACGCTTTGCTTAAATGACCCCCTCAGACAAGACCCTAAACCCTAGCCCTAAACCCTAAACCCTAAACCCTAAACCCTAGCCATAAACCCTAAACCGCCCAGCTGCGAAGTGGCTCACGAAAACAGTCGGTTGGGCAGCTCCCCTTCGCCTTAGGCCCTCTAGGCTTTGCATCCTAAATGCCGCCCTCTTTTGAACCATGTCAGGGCCTCAAAGCCCAGAAAATCATGGAGTTCATGATTGGACAATTGGATGTTGGGATGTTCCCGGATGGACTAACTAACAGTCCTTACTCAGGAGTATTGTGCTACCATAATCCCTGTATTAAAGGATTGTTCGTAGAAGGGAGAACATCCCAAAATGAGGATGCGTGAAGGGCCCTTTTCGGCTCAAGACCACCCCTTCCCTTCGTCGCCATATTCTGGAAAGGCTAACAGAGTCAAGGGATAGCAGGCCCCTATTCCCGTGACCCACCCTTAGCTTCCTTAGCCTTAGCCCTGAAGTAAATTCTTACCGCAAGCCACACACACACATATCAGGTACCCCTGCAGACTTCGAAAATCTTCGAGCCCCAACAAAAGTCTCACGCCAACCATTCGCATAGGCGGTAGCCAAAAACAATCCGAAACCCTATAAGACCTGCCCAAACACGCTAAATCCTGTGGCCCCAATCCTGAAATCCCGGAACAGGAGACCCAGAGTATCCCTTATTCCAATCTTTTTCCGAGTATACAAGTTCAAGTTCGGTTATTCGGAGCCTAGAACTCCCAGAAGCCCAAAAACCAACTCGCATCGCTCTCGCCCCCGCGTGTGCGCCCCACGTGCGCGCGGCTATTGCGGGAGTTTGATGCAATGTCATGCTGCGAGTGCTTCACTGGGCTTTTTGGGCAGCTTGCCAGGACTTGGGGGTTGAGCATTCTAAGGGACGCTTAGATGACCTTTGTTTTTGGCTCATGGGACTGTCTGCCGTTACTTTTCGGGATGTTCCCCCTTATACTAACAGTCCTGAATAGGGATTCTAGTAAGATTATAGTGCCCCCCCTCTTAAAATCCCTGTTAAGGAGCCGTTAGTATAAGGGGGAGCATCCCAAGTTACTTTCCTTAGGCCCAGATTGCAAAACGTCAGGAGTACCGGATCGAAGTGCCCGAGTTGTAAACGACTGACTAGGCCTTGCCCCCGCAGGTAAGCACTCAGGCTTTCGGGTGTGGTTGGCTGCAAAAGAGGCGGAGGGGATGAGGTTATTTAAGGGCGGTTCCTAGCTTTTTTGGGGTCCATAGCAACGAAGGAAGAGACTCTTGAAGATCCAAGTGCTCCCTAAACCCTATAAACCCTAAACCCTAAACCCGTGGCAAAAAAAAAAACCTAAACCCTAAACCTACCAACCGATGCCTTTCCGGCCGTGTGCGAGTGTGAGAGTCGAAACCCTAAACCCTTCGAAAGCGAAGGCAGAGCTTGCCCGAGCCCGCCAGCTTCGCCCCTGCCTGGGCGGTGATCATCCGGCGCCGGGACGTCAAAGGCACATGCCACAGAGCCACATAGGGGCTTACGAGATTAGGGGTACCTTATTGGGGTCCTTCTTATAAGGTGATCCTACTATTTAAGGGTCTATATTGGGGCCCCCCTACTTTCGTACACCCCCACATTGCGTGTGCTTTGTGTTGGCAGGGGCTCCCCTTCAATCAGGGCCTTGCGCGATCGAGAAGACAGTCCTCGAGCGATGTAGACGAGCGGTTCGCTAAAGGATTGCCGATGCGGGCCGACGCGATTGAATACCGTGCAGGTCCTGCAATGTACAACAATCAGCAGCAATGATGAGATTTTGCCGGCTGGCTACTGGAGCAAGTGGGTCATCATCCCATGGCATGAATCGGGCCAAAAAGCCCAATAAAGTTTAGACCCTACCAACCTCCAAACCCCGATCAACCCTCCTCGAAGCCCAGGTCTTCCAAAAGTCGTAGATCAAGGATTGTTCATCATACACATACCTTCGCTTATCTAAGAGAGGTACACCCCCTTCATTGAAGGATGTTTCAGTAATGAGGGGTTATCGCCTTTCAGTTAGCCTTAAAGTAGGGCTTACAAATAGGGGATGCGATGTTGAGATAAGGTAGGTTGTCGTTTTTTCGATGAACGGAGGATATCGTGAGAATAGTGATTCGCAGCCGGCGCAACGTGAACGTCCGAGAACACATAAGTATGGCAGAGGTTTTGAGATGGATTTGACGAGAGTTTGTTTTATCGGAGCTAGAGTAATATTATTCTTCGACACCCTCGTACACTCTGCATCCTAAACCTTCCTAAGCCTTGAGCGTTGTCGACGGTTTTTGTTTCCTAAATGTTTGTCTCTATATCTGTAGAGAAAGAAACTAGAGCTTCGCCTTTGCATCGGTTCTCGGATCTCCCGGCCAGTCGTCTCAGAAGCTGTCCGAGAAACAATTCTTGAAACCAATGCTCGTGCCAAGCTGTCTTGGAACCGTTGCTCTGCGCTGGCATTATGTTGTTGTGTGGTTAATTAAGTTGTTGTGCGCATGCGACAGGTTCTATTCACTTACCGCTCTTGAATGTGTTCATCTCTTAGTTAAGATCTCTTGCCTTAATTAAGAAGAAATACATGCACCTTACTTCTTAGTTCACGACTTTTGGAATATCTGAGACGACAGCCTTTTTAGACATCAGCTGCAGGCGCAGCACGGTGGTCCGACATGGTGCACGCTCCTCCGCCACTACATCAGGCTGGAGTTTCGTGACCCGGGCAAAAGGGTTTAGGGTTAGGGTTACAATTAGTTCCCCGGCATTGAGGCGAGCCACGGACGAACCTCAAAGCTCTACTGTTTACGCATGTTTCCACTTCTCCTCGCGCATCCCAATTCCTACGCCTGCATCCCACAATCCTCCGGGGCCAAAGCAGAAACCCAGTTCTCCCAACATCCAAAACCTCGAGCTCTCTGTGAGGGGGGGGGGGGGGCACCAAAGTTCTTCGAGAAGAACATCGCCCCCCAGGTGAACCCAAACTACCCTGAACCCGACCTCAACCCCCAAAATATGAAAAATAATGGCCCTTCTAAGGGTTTTGGGCTGTTTTTTTTTTTTTTTACATGCTTTGGGGGTCCAGGTAGACCCTAAGCCCTTGGAGCTCCATATACGCCAGCAACGCAGAGGCCCTCCTCTCCGCTGCGGCGCACTCGAACCCGAGCCCTGTCGTACTTAGGGGTTTCGTCTTGAACCCGAAACCCTAAACCCTAAACCCTAAACCCTAAACCCTTGTTGGAGTGTTTCGCTTTCAGAGTGAATGTGCCAAGGTGCTAGGCACCCCCCTGAGGTCCTTTGAGACCTGGGAGTTTTCTCCTGGGAAGAGATGGGAGTCCACTGGGCTGGGGTTTGTGTAGTGTTCTAGCTGCATCCCCTTGATGGTCTTATTTAGTTGGGGGTTCCTCACCTCGTTTTGTCCCGGATCCCCATCGCTTCCCGCATATGTGTATGCTGGCTTTAAAGGCAATTTCTTCTTGAGTGCACACCTTTTCCCGGAACTAGTCCCTGCAATGTGGCCACAGTGTCAGCTAGGCGGGTGGCAAAAAAAAAACCCTCCTTGGTTGCATTTCAGCTCAGCGTATGCCTTACCACACATCTGCAACTTGATCAGGGTCCCCCCATGTACCCCCAGATGTAGGCCGGAGACCCCCCCCCCCCCTGATGGCCGCCACTTTCAGAACTAGGAAGCTGTGGCGCCATGACCTTATGACCTTATGTTTCAAGTTCCACCTCCCCTCGTTCGTGGAGTCCAGTCTCTTTACATCAGTATCGGTGACACTCAAAAAGTTCATGTTGTGGTCGATGCACCACTGAACGGCCTCAATCCCTCCACAGGAGCGTACCTGGACCAAGGCATGGCACCATCAGTCATCCCTCTAACCTTGGGGACCATCTGACCACATGAGCCCGAAAAGTGTTCGTGCTGAATATACCCTAGGTGGGACTAGTACCAGTAGCACAGTATTGGGTCTTATGATCTTACTTTCAGAGCTCAGTTGTTCCCAAAAAGAAAGAGTCCCGGTTTAAGACCCAACCCATCCCTGCCTCACTCTCAAACCTGCCGACACCGATCCAAGGAACCTTCAGCACCGGGGTTCCCTGGCGCTGAATGAAGCCGCCCCTTTGCCTGCACTCTTGGCAGTTGGTCTCTCAGGTTTACAGACAAAAATGGGTTGAGGGTTTCCCCTTGTGAACAAATCGTGCAAAGTAGGTGCCGGCCTTTTGGCTTGCACAAATTGTACAAGACGTGGTTCCCCATCTCTTTGCATCTCTTCTGCGATTCGGGGTTGGGAATACACCGAAAGACTGAAAGGTGGAAACCAGCATCGTGCATGTCATACGCAGCATGAGATCATGAGAACCGCTTAGCCGAAGCCGATAAGGTGGTGTTTGGGGGGGGGGCAAGGAGTTGCAGCTGGGTTACAACGCCTTCTCTGATCGATTCGATCTTGGTTCAAGAGCACGCTGTCCTCCTCCACCCACTGCAGAGGTGTACTCCTGCAAGCGACAGAGTCAGGTTAGTAAGAGCTTGGGGCTTTTACTGCTGACGTAATCTAGGGGTCGGAAGAACTACTAATATTATTCCCTTGGGGTTCCTTGATAAATATACTATAATAACACCCAAAACCCTACGCCAATTACTCAGGCCCCTATATTAGACCGCCCCGGCAGCAGTTTTGTTTGCCAAGCTTTTTCCAGGTCAAGCTGCAAGCGCTGGACTTGGTTTCTTCCCTCATCGAGGCTTTCCGTGGCCAATGCGGCGATGTTTCGGGCATGCTCATAGGTTGGGATGTTCCCCCTTATACTAACAGTCCTTAAGAGGGATTCGAGTACCCGCTATTGTAATCACTATTAAGGAATGTATAGGGGGGAACATCCCAACTCATTGGTTCTTAAGCTCGGGGCTCAGCTCACCATGGGCCAAGTGGGTTCAAGCTTTGATCAGACTGTTGACTTGAAGGCTCTGTTGGTTCAGCTGCCGCCTCACTTAACTCGGCAGCCCTTGGAGATATGCTTTAGAAACTTGGGATTAAGGGGAGCACATTGGCTTCAGGGATTTAACGGGAGCATATTGACTTCAGGGATTTAAGGGGAGCAGATTGACTTGAGGGACATTTTTCAGAGGGCTTTTAGGGCAATCCCAGTCCCACGCCAAACTTCTAAAGCGCAAGTTCGGCCGTAGGCCGACGCCTCGCCCAATGAGGAGGACGCCTCAGGCTGGCACGTTCCGCTGTAAGGTTTAGGGTTTGGGGTTTAGGGTGGAAGGTTTATGGTGAGTTGAGTCTCCGGGCACCGTCGTGTTCTGGAGTTGAACATTCGGAGAGCTCTTCTCCCGTCTCTTTCTACACCTCGAGCTCTGAGGACGATTGCTTCTGACTTTGAGATATGTTTTGTGGGGGAATCGAGGGAAAGCTCTACATGTCACCAGCCCCTCAACCCCAAACCTTTAACCCGAAACCCTAAACCCTAAGCCCTAAACCCAAACCCTAAACCCTAACCCTAAACCCTACCCCCCCCCCCCCCCCCCCCCCTCCCCCCCACCTAAGCCTCCCGGGGACTGCCCCAGGCGACACAGCCTTGAACCTCGCAGCGCAGATGGGGGATGGACAGCTCCTCAAGGCCCTGAGGAGGCTCGGGGGGATGTGCGGAAGACCTGTAGGGGTCGGAATAATTGCTGATGGGAATCCCTTATGGTCACTTTGTAGTTATTCGATATACTTATTAAGGCCCTCGTATTATGGGGTCAGGGTGAAGGGTTTGAGGGTTTAGGGCTGCAAGGGGTTCTGGCATTCCCCGCCCCAGCCCAGATGGAAAAAGCGCTGCAAGGGGTTAGGGTTTAGGGTTGCAAGGGTTTAGGGTTTGGGGTTCAGGGGCTCTCTTGGTTTTGGGGGTTGACGGTTTTTGGAGGTTTGAGGCATCAGATCATCAGGCATGTGGGAGAGTGATCATTTGGGGCTTGTTTGTCTAAGCACCAGTATGGGTGTTGGGCGCTGGTGGATTGTTGCTCAGTCCGTTGCATCCTTGGTGTCGGATGCAGCGGGCTGAGAGTGGAAATTAAATATCTGCATGTGCCGCAAAACATATCCTCGCAGCATCGGTCATCTCTTCAATTGCTCTCGCGCTTCTTGGTTCTGGAGCCATTCTCAACATTTCGGCCCATTGCTCCGCCATTTACCCTGGAATGAAAACCTAGGTTGGCTTTTGGGACATGTCATATTGTCACTTATTGGGTTTAAGCGGATCATATTCGGGAATATTACTCCGAGGCTCGTCTCGCGACACTGTGGTGAACCAACCCCCCCCTGGCAACAAAGAAACATACACACACACACAGACCTACATGTAACCCTTGCAAAGGGACAGCCACAAGAAGAAGACGCGGGAGTTTCAGAAGGGACTAGGCATGCTCCAGAGCTTTGACTGGCAAGTTGCAATTGCGGTGTTCAGGTGTTTTGTTTGGTTTTCTGCAGGCTTCGCAATTTTTTTTTCAGGTTCAGGGGTTTCAGCTGCGTTTCCCGGCCGTTTGTCAGAGCTTGCGCAGGGGCTTAAGGCTTCAGGCATTTGGGTGCTTGTTGTGCTTTGGTGCTTTTGTACGGCTGACAGCTGGCGGTAGTAGCCTGCTTCAGGGTCCTGAAGTTGACGCTACAGTCGTATGGCCTCTACAGCAGGGCTTGGGGGGCCGACCTCCAGGGTTCTAATTTGCAGCCTCCTCTCCCAAGGAACATGCCGCTCTTTGCGAACCTCCACCCGTCCGAGTATCCGCGATTGGTCGCTGCTTGCGCAGCTTGTTTCAACTCAGGGCTTTCTGGGCTTTATGGGCTCCCGTGTTCAGGCTAGAAGAACCGAGAATCTGTTGCATGACCAAGCTGTGAGGCAGCAATCGAGGACTTGTTCCTTATGCTCTGACTATGGGCTATACTATAGGCATTCGCTCGGCAAGTTTCCTTCTGCCAAGATGAGGGTCTTTTCCCTGCCGGCTAAGCGACTGCTATTCACAGGGCATGCATGCCAAACCCCAAGGTTGAATCTTGAACACTGGTTCCCTTAACCCCCGTTATACCTCCCCAGTACCCCCTTATACCCCTTAATGCCCCTCTGATACCCCCCCCCTGAAACTCATGCTGCTGAAGCTCTTTTGAACTGGACCGTTTACCGACCCTGAGGAGCTTAACAAGAAGGCACTTGGCCTAGACTGAATAGTGATCCACGAGGCTTTTGCTCGAACCACCACACTCCCTTTGTGGTGTTCTCTTCAAGAGTGATAGAGGCTTGTTGGGGCTTAGGGCTTCGGGTTCTCACCTAGGGCCAGCCGAGGAAAGCCGCACCTGTAGTGAGGGGCAAGACGTCATACCGCCGAACGAGGTGCCGCAGGGGGATTAGCCCATATCCATGGGCCGCGATTTCAGGACCGGTGTCTTTGAAGGAGTGTGCTAGTCGTATCGCACCTGGTCATCGCAAGTCGCAGGGTGGAAGCGCCCAGGAGGGCCGCACCAATTCTCGGTAAATCGATGGAGTTGTTACATCCCGTGACCCTAAGACCCTCGTCGCTCAGGCCCGGAGCCCGAGAGCACTCTCAAAGTTTCTGGGGGCCAGTCGGCAAAAGAAAATGTGGATCGAATCGCCGAACAACCACTGTAGAGCTTCAGGCTTCAATGCCCAAGGTGCTTGCGGATCTGTGGGTGCAGTGGTTGTCTGCAAGGATGAAAGGTGGCCGGTGTTTCTGACTATGATGCGGCCCCATCATATGTAGCAACATACTGCGAAGTTCAGGACAGGCATGCTTCGGCCCGAAGTTTATGTGACTCAGCTGGCCCGCTGTATGGGCTGAAGCACCTGGTAGCAACCTCACACAGTTAAAAAAAACAAACTTACACAATAGTATTCCCTTAGGGTCCCTTTAAAATTATACTATAATAGCGCTGTTCTAATTCTTCAGGCCCCTATATTTCCAGTTTCCACAACCCCACAGCGGCAAAACCCTAAACCCTAAGACGCTCCGAACCTGGAAGGCCCCGCAGGAGCTGTTCTTCGTCCTCAAAGGCCGAGTTGCACTCTGAAGTTGGACGTAAGACTCTGTTTACCTACAGTGTAGTAGCAATTACCCTTAATTAGCCCATGAAACTGTAGGTAAAGAGGGTCTCACAGGGTTGCTAAGAAAGCCTTGGTGAGGTTGGAGAGAAGGCACCATCATGTTGAGAAATGGTCATATTCTATAGACCCTACCTTGGGAACCACATGAACCCTAAAATTGGGACCATGTGCCCTGCACTACCATAATCCATATTAGGGTATACGAACCATAAACCCTTTTAGGGTTCATTTGGTTCTCAAGGTAGACTGGCTTGTCCAGTTTTTGGTGTGAACCGCAGACTCCTATGCGGACCTTTAATTTCTTGTCGTGAATTAGTGAATCGGTGTCAGAGATCCCCCCCCCCTAAATTGAGAACCTTTTCAGGACTATGTATGGTACCTCAATTCCCTGATGCGCGACAGCGATGGTAAGATGTTCGATGCCCCTTCGGCCCAAACTTTTCCGAAGGCCGGGCACAGTTGACGGAGGCGGCGGACGCCCCGGAGCCCGGCAAAGCGACCTTTGCATGTGGAAGGGTGTAGAGTTTAGGGTTGACCGGGTTCCACGTTTAGGTGTCCATAAGTGGTGGATATCTCTTGGGCCTAGGAACCACAACCTACACCTCCCACCCTCCTTAGGGCTCTGAAAGCACTGGAGCGACCCAGACAGTTTGTTTGGGGGGGTTTGAGGCTTCCTGCTACCTACGTACCCTCCCGCCCCTCCCCTCTAAAAGTTCGTTTGCAGAGGGGCGCCTTGCACAAACAACGTCGCAAGCCTGAGGCAGCCGAGACGAAGCCTTTAGTACCAAGCCTTAAAGGAGCTCGGGGGACTAAGCTGTCAGGGAGCTCGGACCTTTCAAGAGCATATAGTCTAGGGGGTGCGCAGTGTTGAGCTCGAGCCTCCGAGGCTGTCTTGGCCTTTTGTGAGAGGCCATGATTATAGGTATTAGGTGACCTAGAGAGAAAGAGAGCAGGCTCCCGCTCGCTTGGAGCGAAAGCCGCGGAACCTTCTTGATCCTACCGAAATTCCCTCTATATCCAACATTACGACATCACTAGATCATGAGGGTAGTATTGTGATGTTAGAACCCTGTGGCGCCAGGTCACGATTCTCGAGGAGGGCACCTATTTTGGGGAGAATGCCCTCCTAGGCTCACACGAAGGGCGTCCTGGGGGGGGGCAAAAGCCAGACTGCTTGGGTGCAGGGCCTTTTGAGCATGTTGATCGCGTGGATCCTTTTGGCCCGAGGCAAAGAAATCCCAAAAGACCACCATTCACCACCTATATGCTGCTAAGCCCGTATAAAGTAAAGGTGAGCTGCAGGGAGCCCTCTCTAGCCTGTAAAGCTCACTGCCCGGCACTGGCCGCTTTTCGGGGTCCAAGAGACGTGCGGTCGGTTGCGGTCGCAAGGCGGCGAGCGAGCCCTGGGCTCTGTCGTGGCACTGACGGATCTCACTTTGCAGGCCCTGCCGCATCGTAGTCTCACAGGAGACCATCTCAAGGGGAAGCCCTACAAGGAGAGGCCCCCCAAATCAGACGTAGAGTCATAAGGGCCCTAAATTGGGTCGTTCGTTATTGGTCCCATACAGTTAGTGCAGTAAGGGGTCCCCTCCTTGTACTCGCATATGTGCTCTGGTTCCTGTGTCCTGGGCAGCTTCGGGGGTGTTGGAGGCGCGGCTTTCGAGCATCTCAGTCGGATCTCTTGAGTCAGTGACCCTGGATTTTGTGGGGGGAATCTATCTCCCCCAACCACATGCCCACCTCACAGGCTTCGTCCCAAGTCCATCCTTTCTGCAACTTGCCTTCATCTTCTCTGATGTTTCGGGCGCCTTTACATTGAGGTGACACCTCAGCCCGCCATAGACAACCCCAAATCTCTCTTGTGCACGCAGACGGCCCTGCGAAATCTCTCCCCACCCAAACCTTAAACCCTAAACCCGAAACCCTAAACCCTAAACCCCCCCCTCCCTCAGCCCGCAACCCTGTTTGAGCCTCCGGTGTTTGCTGCCTTTGTCGTAGGTCCTAAGCCCGACAGCGCTCCGCGACCTGGGCTTGAAGAGCAGCATCCGCAAGCGCCGGGCCGTGCCCAAGAGACTTCGAGCTGATCCGAGCCCTAAACACTAAACCCTAAACCCTAAACCCTAAAACCGACCTTTACAGGGCTCGGGGGTTGACCGAACGATTCTTGATGCTTCGTGCAACCCACAGTGGGTAGGGTGGGGTGGACTCGCTACTCGCTACCCTGAAGCTTTCGAAGTGTGCAATGGCAATGCTGGGTCGACTTGCTGGCAAAATCTGAGTCTGTGTGTCTGCGTTTTCGTTCCGACAACGTGGCAGGTACAGTCCATGATGGATTCGGAGCCCACCGAGATGAACGAGAAGTTGCGGCAAAAGAGCCCCGAGGAAGATTTCGGTTTTGCACTGCAGGCCTTCGTGAGTGGAGGTGTTGTCCTAAACCCTTTTTGAATACAAATTACCCGAAACCCTAAACCCTAAACCCTAAACCCTAAACCCTGGCCTCGGCAGACCCAGTTCACTCTCTGAGCCTGAAGTCCCCACCTTCGACCTCATGACAGAAAGCCATGGGGTGTCGAAGCTTCCCCCTTCAAGCCTGTGCATCGCTCCCTGCTTAGTTATTTGGGATGTTCCCCCTTACACTAACAGTCCTTAGTAGGATTATTGTAACCCCCCCTGATACTAACAGTCCTTAACAGGGATTTTGGTACCCCGTTTATGATCCCCATGAAGGACTGTTAGTATAGGGGTGGAACATCCCAACATGTCTTCCTCCCGTCCCGTCTGGGTCGACCCATCAGCACCGACATGTTGGGCTGTCCCTGCAGCTCCCGATAATGAACCTTCAGGTTGATCGTTTAGGGTTTAGGGTTTAGGGTTTAGGCCGCCAGTCCTGGAAGGAGCAAGACATTGATTGATGAAGCATGCGGTGCAAGGTTTTAAATGTTGAAGCCCGACTTGTCAAGTCAAGATGTTCTCGAAAACCCCATCGGACCTTCCCCAAGTCCTCCATCCGCTCTGCCTTTCCAGGAGTCCGAACTCATCAAGTCTGCGCTGAGGCAGAATGTGCCCTTACTGCAGACGCCGCCCCTCTCCCGAGTGTTTGGGATGCCCCAAAATGCCCACCTCGGGCAAGATGCTGTTGTTGCCCGAAACAGGCATCCTACACTCCTAAGCCATATATCAGCCGCAGATCATAAGGCCAGGTTCCCAAAGTCTCGTCCAAATTACGAGTCGTCCTACAATCCATGAAAGGCTGCAGGCAGGGCCGGCACCACACTGTCACATCCAAAGGGGTACTTAGGGTTTATAGGGTTTAGGGTTTAGGGGCTCATAAGGTTTAGGCTGCTGCTCCTGTTAAGGAGAAGCTGGGGCCTTTGGTCACGCTCATGTCGGTGGCCGATCTGGACCGCGCTTGTTTTTCCTTTTTGTTGCATCTACTTCCGACCCGAAATTTTTACTAAACCTGATAATTATAGGCTAATTATAGGCTGCAGGATTTGAAGTGTGTTGGACCATGAGGGTTCCATGCCTCGGGTGCCTTCTTCTATGCCAGAAAACGCTACGGTACAATGAGGCAAGAGTTTAATACTGTACTAAGGTACAGAACTCGGAGGCAGTTTGGAGGATCAGGCTTTTGCTCCCGAGCAACGAACCCTTCGCTCCAAACCCTAAACCCTAAACCCTACTGGTTCACAGTGCAGTCGCACTCAGTTGCTTAGATTCAGAGACTGCGCGAGTAAACCCTGAAGCCTAAACCCTAAACCCTAAACCCTAAACCCTAAACCCTAAACCCTAAACCCTAAACCCTAAACCCTAAACCCTAAACCCTAAACCCTAAACCCTAAACCCTAAACCCTAAGCCTTGGCATCCCAAACAGCTGAGATGCTCGATGCCGCGCACGGGGCGCCTTCTGGCTCAAGCCACACCATACCTTACTCGCACCTTACCCTGTCCGAGACTCCATGGCAGCATGAGGCCATGAGGGCCCTGAGGCAAGCGCAGCGTGTAGCTGGTTTGTAGGGGTTTAGGGTTTAGGGTTTAGGGTTTAGGGTTTAGGGTTTAGGGTTTAGGGTTTAGGGCTACTACGACCAGAGTAGGCCCTTATGCCCCTCTTAAGGGCTTAGGTTCCCTTACAAGCCCTTGTGAGCCAACAGGGCCGCCCTTTGTATTCCTAGCTTACTCTTGGGTCTCGACTCTGTAATCTCTTCCAGGACCAACTCCCCTTTCAAGGTCGTCAGGGTCGGGCCTTCACTGTTACTCCGAAGGCGGAAGATTTCAGCAGAATGTATCCCTAAACCCTAAAACCCTAAAACCCCTACAGTCATGCTTTCACGGGGCGATGCCGGGACATCCGCTCGCACGGCAGGCTAAGAGGGGGGTGACCTTGCGGCCTGGACCTTTCGCGAAACTGGGAGCCCACTTGAGAGCAACGCACCTCTACTTTAGAGTTTTGCCTAGCAACCTACTATAGTTTAAGCCTTAAGAACCCCGAAAGAAACACATTCTTCATTATTAAGGGCAATATAGGGATTAGTCTTTTTGTTTTTCCTTTTGGGGTTCTTAAGCAAATCGTAGCAACTGTCCCGGAGTTCCCGACAAGTTTTTTTGTTTTTTAAAGCTGGGTTGCGGAGGCGTGCTGTGGGGGGCATGCTCAAGTTCCTCTTGTTGTCCAACCGTAAACCCTAAACCCTAAACCCTAAACCCTAAACTGACTTCTCAAAGCTGGGCAGGCTCATCTCCCGTTTTGCCGTGCTCCATCTGTCTGGGATCTGTGCTGCCACCGAGCCGGCGAGATGCGCGCCTCATCTGCGGGCAAGCGATTCGTAGGACTGACCCTAAACCCTAAACCCTAAACCCTAAACCCTAAACCCTAAACCGACTTAAGGGGGCGCTACCAGACCTGGTGAGCAATCCGGTGAGTTGCAGGGGTGCCTACAAGATTTAGAGAGCTCTGGTTTTCGGTAGAAAGCGTCGTTGTTTCACAACCCTTTTGAGACGTGGGGCATCTCCCAAAATAGGGGCACCCTTTTGTACCACAAACATAGTAGAATCCCCTTAAATCGGGAGGTACCGTTTTTGGCGATCCCTTAATAAGGGACCCCCAAAAACGGTACCTCTCTATTTTCGGAGAACTCCCAGATGGTTCTTAAGCTCCCGTTTGCAGTTCTGTCTTCGGACACCTGCAGTCCAAGACTAGGACCCAGAGTAGGCCCTTATTTCCTTTTTTTTTGGGTTGGGGGTTCCCTTATAAGCCCCTTAAAACCAAAAAGGGCACCCTTTTATTCCTAGGTTACCAGTATGGGCCATGATACCCTATAGGGTTCACATTATGAGGATTGTAAAGGCCTAATGGCCCATCCTGGTACTCCTGGATCGAGAAGAGATCCGAGGCTTCGATGCTCCAGCACATTGCGACCCAGGCAGCGGCGGCGTGGGCTTATGAAGCGCAGGGGGTCAGAGAGAGCTGAGGTGCCCGAAACGTTGGGATCCCATGCCCTGTTACTACGATAATCCCTGTATATGAGCCAGTTGGGATCATATACCCTCTCCTGCTAGAATCCCTATTAGGGTATATGAACCTCAAACCCTTCGAGGGCTCATTTGGTCCCAAACCCCCCCCCACCGTTCTCTCACATGGGGGTTTGCGAAAAACAATATAGACCCCCAAATAGCAGGATTCCCTTAGAATAAGGAGCCGAATAAGGTACCCCGAATTTCGGAAACCACGCCCCATGGTCTTGCGAGGCCACGCAGGCGAAGAGGGTCCTGGCATCACAGGAATTTGACCAGCAGCTTGAGGATCTCTGGCTTCAGGCCCGCGATGTGCGCCCCTTCTACTTTGTATGCTTCTGTTTTGAGCAGCTGGGAGGTTTACGAAAGTAGGGGAGCCCTAATATGGACCCCACACAGTAGGATTCCCTTGTAATATGTAATATGCACCCCTAGTTTCGGAAGTCCCCAAGTAAGACAGAGTTCGTCATCGTCTTTCGGCACGGTGCATGACAATGTTCAGAACCCTACCCTTTCAACCTGTGCTTTGCTTGCGATGAGCCCTCTAAGCGCACCAGGAAGGGTCGACAAACATTAGCAATTTACATTGCTTTGTTTTATATATCTGCGTTTCCGTCAAGGCAGGGTCGTCACGAGGCTCGAGGCTCCATTACCCAACCGCTAGTTCCTTTCAAGAAACTTGACGAGCCATGGAATTGAATCGAGCACATCTGCACTGGTGACATCCTCATGGTCGAGATTTCCCATCGAGTTCCTGACATCGCATTCTCGGCAGGAGCGCACACTGGCCTCGGCCCTTGGGGGCATGGAGACACGCCGTGATCTTCTAGGCCTCTCCGCACTTGTGGGATTGACAAGGGTCTTTGCTTTGGAAGGTTGAGTCTTCGCAGCTCGTGGGCTAGAAAGAGGCCGAGGGTACTGTAGGATTGTGATTGAGGTTTTGTGGCAGCCGGGGCATGCCGAAAAACAACATGCCTTGCTTCAACCACCCAAGACCAACAAAGATATATGACAAGAACAACATACCAATTTAGCAATATGTTTTTTTGGGATGTTCCCCCTTATACTAGCAGTCCTTTATAGGGATTATAGATTATAGTACCCCCTATGATAGTCCCTATTAAGGACTGTTCCCAAAATATGTTCAAAAAAATAATCCCTTCCCCCTAATATTAAACCACCCCCCCCCCCCCTGCCCCCCAAAATAAAATACCCCCCCATTATGGTTCTATTATAGTATATGGGGGGCGGGTTGTTTAAAATTGGGGGGGGGGGGGGGGTGTTAAATATGAGGGGGAAGGGATGATTCGAGTTTTTAGATCGACTTGGGATCTTGGGTCGTTCGTCCCTTCCGCAGGCCTTCCCCATGGAGAAACGACCCTCAGCTCGCCGGCAACCTGGCAGACGAAGACGCTTCAGGGTTAAGTAGAGGGTTTATAGGGTTTTGGGTTTAGGGTTTAGGACGTATCCGGCCGAAATTCGACACCCTGAGAACAACAGTGACATGCCCCCGGGTCGAGGGGGGCAGGGGAGGAAAGCAGTTGAGTATCAGTTCTTGGGGGCGTGCCCTGAGGGTGCTGTTATGTAGGACGTTTTTTGGCGGGAATGGAATTTATGTTAGGCATTTTGGGGTGGTCCTACTGTTGTTAAGCCTCATAGGCTACGGGCTTCGCGAAAAACTTTTTAAGATCAGGCTGCCGAAAGTTTTGTCGGAACCTGTGTTCCTGCGTTTGTGCCCAGGACGGCGCCGACGACAACCTGAACGCGAGTACTGTTCTCTGGACAGTCGAAAGCGTAGTGAACGAATCTTCACTGCGCTTCGGGTAGATTGTTGGTGGCTTGAGGTGCATTCAGGGTTAAGTTTCGAGTATCCACGAGTTGGGCTCTCTTTGACTTGAAGGTTCTCAAGCAGGCTACAGAGGGGCTTGTAGTACTTCCGGTTGGCTCACCCCTGGAGGCTTTCGGATCTGCGCACTTGCAACACTCAGGAATCGGCAGCTGTCGCATCTTCCGCCGCATCTGACGCATCGTCAGCTGCAGCTGTGGCAGGGAATGCCCTGGACTCCACATGGCTCCCTGCCTGCACTCCTGGACGCTTCAGGGTCGAGCAATGTTGGGCCGGCACGGTACACTGCAGGGTCCAGACTCTGCTGGGGTTTAGGGTTTAGGGTTTAGGGTTTAGGGTTTAGGGTACTGTAGCGAGTGTGGGGGCCTTGAGGTGGTACTGTGGGGGTGTGGTGAGGCTTAATGGTGGAGATGTGTGGGGATGGGGCTTTGCGGGTAGTTGGCGGGGGATGGTGGGCACGTGGTCTGGGTACTGTATAGTGAGCATAGTGTGTGGTGGTGGTGGGGCTTGGGGGTCTCTGGTAGAGGTCCATGTCTTGTGGGGGTCGCTGGGCGTGTGGTCGGAGGCCGGGGAGGGTCCCGCAAGACCATAAGAGTTCATAAATTTGTGCATCATTGCTATTTTGGTGCTGTATAAGCATAAGCTGTTTGATGGAAGGCGCCCGAACTCTATTCAAGTATTGAACTTTCGTCATCTACCACTACCGCACTTCACTACGGGCCCTCGAATTCGAATTTGGATTCTTGCATAATTCTTTCGATCTGGAGAAGGAAGTGATGGGCGTGCTTGGACCTCGGTGATGGCAAAAGAATACGACGTTGTGCAGGTTGTCTTGAAACTACATGTAAGGTTTTGAGGGCCAAAGATTTCCAGGGACCATGTTGGTGAAGATAGCATGTCTGTCGTCGTAGTCAGATGTCAATTCCGTGCAGGATGTTGCAATAGATGGCCAGGTAACGGTCGACTCCGTCGCGGGCAGGTGCATGCCCAGCAAGAACTATAAGAGCCAGGTATTGCCGACGTCACACCAACCAGAGGGTCCACGTGCAGTACTATTCTGGAATCAGGTACCCAAAAGAGGGTTTAGGGTTTAGGGTTTAGGGTTTAGGGTTTAGGGTTTAGGGCCATTTTGGCTCAAGGCTACGAGGTCCAAACGGACATCTGAATTCACTGCGCGCTTTACGACTTTCCTTGCTTGCCATGGCTGTGGGAAGAGTTGCCTCCTGTGGGAAGCTTATCTCCTGCTTGGGGCATGCCCAGCGTCTTGCAAAACGCCTTCAATGTGAGGAGGCAGCCAGCCAGATTCGGTGCGCTTTGCATTTCCTGGTTCACGGTTCTGGAAGCCAAACGGAATCTGTCTTTGGACAATCTGCAATTCAACGACGCCCGCTCAGGTTGCATGATGCTCTGTGGCCGGAGGAAAGTTTTGTGCCCGAACCAGATGAAGTGCTTCCAGAGGTGAAGAAACCGCTCCAAGTTCCTGACACGTGCTACCACGCCGCTTGTGAAGCTGCTGCCCAGACTGAGGTTGATGTCATCTTGCGACCTCATTGTGAACAACTCATGCAGAGACTAGCTGATCAAAGTGAGGCTGCCATACTGAGGTGTCAGTCTTTGCTGCTTGAGATAGAGAAGACCCTTCAATCTTTCCAGCAGCGATGCAAATGTTGCCCCACTGATGCAGATCCTAAGGAAACTGCACAGCCGGAGTCACAGCCCAGCAATGAAGCGTCCTCCTCATCCCCGCCGGTTGTCCGCGCCAGTGAGTGTCAATGGCCTCGACCAGTAACGCTTCCAGATGCTTCAACAGACTTGGGACTCGTGAGGGAGCAGCATAGATGTCAGAGATTGGCTTTCAAAGTGCAGAGACGGGCCGAACGCGAAGCAAGGAGGAACGAGGTCCCGAAAACGGACGAGATACCTTGAGCCCACATTCCAACATGGACAGTCGTCGCCTAATCGCATGTTTTTGTCTCATGAATATCATGGGAGTTGTCTCATCTCGCCCTCCGTTTCCTGGCAGTCAGCAAGTCCGGGTTCAAAAAGAGGGTTTAGGGTTTAGGGTTAGGGTTTAGGGTTTAGGGTTTAGGGTTTAGGGTTTAGGGTTTAGGGTCTAGGGTCTAGGGTCTAGGGTTTAGGGTTTAGGGTTTAGGGTTTTGTATGGCTCTGGGGTACCTAGGTCCATAATGGTACTGCAAATGAGCCCTCTCAACCCCTGAACTTGAGCACGTCCTAAGGAGTGCGGCTGACGCCGTGTATCTTTGTGCCCAGCTGATGGCAAGCAACGGCACCATAGATGCTGATGCTTGGAAGCCCACCCTCGGTGTGGGGTTGTTAGATTTTTAAACCTTAACTCTCCTCCTCGCCCGCAACTCTTCTCCTCCCTGGAGTGCCCAACTCTAGAGTCCCTGGAGTGCCCAACCTCAGAGTTTTTCTGGAGTGCGCAACCCAGAGTCTGCCGGCGGAGTGCCCAACCCCAGAGCCCAGGTTCCCGGAGCAGAGGGAGTGCCCAACCCAGAGTGTCCCCGGAGTGACCAACTCCACAGTGTCCCCCGGAGTGCCCAGCTCCAGAGTCTCGGAGTGCCCACCCCCAGAGTACCAAGAGAGGGTGGGGATGTTCGAAGTAAAATAATTGGTTCTGGGTTCCCTTATCAAGTAACCCACCCTTGGCTACCAAGGATGAGAACCTCAAGTTTGTGCCTCACGTGTGCAACTCATTGGCAATTCATAGGGCCATGGGGCCAAACCTCCCGTGATCATTACTGCCCTTTATATGACGTAGACTTGCGAGCGTTATGTCAACTTGTAATAGCCCCTTGAGAGTTTCCGTTCTTTGCTTGCGCATTCTCAAAACCCTAAGGCAACATCACGGACATCAAGATGTGGAGATGTGCTCACGGCAGGGAAGGGCAGGGTTTGGTGCTTCAAACGGGGAGTACTTTCCGAAAGGGATGGTTAGCTTCCACACCACTGGCAAGATCATTGCAGTTTAGCTCCATGTAGCCCCTCGCAGCTGCACTCAAGGTGCTCCCACAATCTTCTCTGCTCAGAGCTGTGGTTTCTTCTATGGCTACATCAACCGTCTCCGCTACGCACTTGAGAAGCTGCGTTGTGGATGAGTTTCGGCAGTGTCGGGGCTGGGTGTCGAATGGCGTTGGGGTTGAGGTAGAAACCCCCCCTTTCAGCCGGGAATCGCCACACAACCATAAATTCTAAACCCAAAGCCGTGAAGACCCAGGCTGGGTAATCATCATTGTCTTCACCCTTGCGTGGTATCTGCTCCATACGGCCATAGACATAGTGTTTGACAGAGATGATGACGATGAAGACGACGAAGCTAGCCTGTTGGGTTTAGGGTTTAGGGTTTAGGGTTCCTTTTGGTGTCTTTTGCTTTTGCTCTGTGGAAATTGGAAACAACTCTCGCCATGTCCTGTACTAATGTCCATGCGACACTAGGAAGAGTTTGTTCGTGAACATGGCTATGCACGGAAACACCACTGGAGGGCGAGAATGAAGATCATATTCGCTGTGCTGCTGCCTTTCGAGATTGCCTTGCTGATGTATTTTGGAATTTTCCGCATGATGTTGAACGCGGCTGCGCCCGTTCTTGGTTGTGCACTCCTCGTGGGGACGCTGTTGCTGCCCTCGATGTTTTGGATTCGTGATGGAATTGAATGGATTGTTGGAAAGTTTCGCTATAAGCTTGCAAAAGTTGAGAAGATGCTTCACGAGCTCCACTCGGTACTCGATGTTAAAAACCGGATCGCACAGACGCGGGAGAAGGCGAAGGAGAGGGCAGAGGCGCTGGAGTCTCGTGTCGCTTCCTGCTGCGGGGCGCCCCCACCAGAGTCACCTTCGTCGAAGTCACCGCCGAAATCACCGGCCTCATGAAGCAACGATGCGGCTAGGGTTTGGGGTTCAATTAGGGGTTAGTGGTTTAGGGTGTAGGGTTTAGGGTTTAAAGGGTACCCTATGTCTAGTTAGCTCGTTTTAGTGTGGAGGCTCCACTTGCCACGACTGCAAATGGGTGTCGGATGCCCTGAAGTCATTCTTCGGCCCCAGGGAAAAGCAAAAAAGGCCCGGCCGCAGAGGGTTGCATTTGAGAGTTGCTCCTCCCCGATCTTCTGACCAGCCGACTTCTCTTCAACTCCCAAAGTAGTGGTTGGAACCGGACAGTGGTGAAATTGTTGACCTCCCACCGATGTTGCTTCGACCATACAGGATAAACGAAACCATTGTAAATCTCTTGAGCCCCTTAACGACCTTAACGCCCTGCATCCCGACGAATCTTCAGAGCCCCGCACCCAGACCCCAATTTGGACAATCTGGTACATCTCTTGCAGCCCTTCGGCTTTTATTCTTAAGCCGAGAAAGAAGGCACTAAAGCTCCAACCCCTAAACCCTAAGCCCTAAACCCGAGGAACTTTACATCCTTGAAGAAACTGGGAGGACGTCGTGGCCGCTGCTGCTGTCCGCGTTGACGTCGAGCCTGCCTTCGAGGCGCTGCGGTTTAGGGTTTCTGGCTTAGAGCTTAGGGTTTAGGGTTTCGGGCTTAGGGCTCAGGGCTCTATAGGGCTTTGAGGGGGTTTTGGGTGGAGGTCTAGGACTTTTGGCGGGCCGTGGGTCTCATGGCAAGAATCGACCTCAGAACGGGCTCAGCAGACGTTCAGGCTTACATGTGGGTTCGGACAATCTAGGACTTATCAGGTTCGAGGGACTCAAGGGTGCTGTTTCAATCCTTCAATTCGGCACCTTGAGCCCCTATTCCAAAGGGATTTGGGCAACAATGAACTCAGGCTTCGTTTAGAACTGATATGCCATGTACAGAAGCCAAGACAAAGGGCCCGAGGTGTGAGACGGTTCTGTGACATCGCGACGCCCCCAGGTCATCCAGCAAGGCTCCGTCAAAGCTGACAACTTTTATGTTGTGTCTGCCGGCGAGCTGGTCGTCGAGAAAGACGGGGAGAAGGCCCGAAGTTTTTTGTTTTTGGTCTCCCTGCGAAGGACTATGATCCCACACGCCACCCTAGTTCTCAAGCACTTAAGACATGTCCTCCTCTCCCGGCTAGGACACTTCCTTTTTGGCCCTGTAGAGTCGTCTCCAGTTAAGACGTCAACACAACACAGGCCTTGAAAGGACTCCTGACCCTTGTTACGGCTGCTTGAGCGTGAACGATGAGAAGATGCGAGAAGTTCACTATCGAAGAAGGGGGCCGCTACACGAGAAGCTGTGAATTTAAAGCAGGTCCAGCATCTCGAGCACGGAGGCTCCTTTGGCGAACTGGCTCTGCTGTATCGGGCACGCAGCTGAGTTTTTGGCACGTGTGGCGGCTTCGAGATTTGGGGGGTTTTGGGGGGTCAAGTGTGCACTGGAAAGCCTGAACAGTCCGGCAAAAAGACCCTACGGACCTCGACGATCCTGGTTGAGGGGGCCCTGCGTGCCCTTGCCCTCATTTTCATTTTCCTTGAGATCACCAAGCTCGAAACTATCCCTAGACCCTAAACCGGCAAAAAAAAACACTAAATACTCCCTGAGGCCCCACGAGCCGCCACGGTGCGCTCGCTGACCGCAGCCACGCTGTGTCCGGGCAGAGACTTAGGAGACTGTTGTCCCATCCGCTTTAGGGTTTAAGGTTTAGGGTTAAGGTTTTTGGGTTTCGAGTTTAGGCAGCCTGGACAATAGGAGTTGAGGAATGAAGCACCGAAGCATCCAAGGAATATATGGGGGCTTATGAACCTGAGGCCCAAAATAACCCCCCCCCCATATTGAAGGATCCCCTGGTAGCCAGGACCCCAATAAGGTGCCCCTAGTTGCGGAAAACCCCCCATATATGAATTCCAAGGAAGCTTTTGGAAGTGAGGCCTAGGTGCACAATAGTGGGTCGTTGGCGGTCTCAATGCCGAAGCTCTGCTTACACCGCAGCTGAAGACAGCTCAGGTTCGCAATTCCACGACAGGACATGGGGGTTGGGGTTGCTTGAGGCTGGGGCATGGCATGAACGCAGCAGTGGGGCAGGGGGGGGTGAAGGCAACGGCTGTTCAGGGTTTGGGGATGAGGGTCCCTTGCTTCCGATGATGGCAGCTCCTGACATCTCCTTCTTAAGAACAGGAGCTGCGGGTGGTGATGCAGGCCCCGCTGAAGAAGAAGATAGAAGGCAGAGCCGACACAGCCAGTCAAAGGGTTTCATGGGTGGTTTCCGGGTTGCTTTCAGGATGCAACCCCAAAGCCTAAGCCCTGGCATCCTAGATGCCGCAAAATTGTCCCAAGTGTCAACGCATCTCACATTATCCAGAAGGCCAGTGGCTTTGGGATTCTACGGTCTGGGACTTTAAGTAGCAATTACCCTTACTTGGTAGGTGCAACACCCAGAAAGCTGTAGGTAGACAGGGTCCCTGGTACGATATGGGGGGGATCTTGCATTTCTCCACCCCATCAGCTGCCGCAGGCTTTGCGACACTGCCAGCGGCCCAGAATCAGATCGGAGATCGGTGGCTTCCGGGTTTCGTTGTAGCAAGAGTCCTGAATAGGGGATTACTAGTAACCCCTATTATGATCCCTCTTAAGGACTGCTAGTCTAAGGGGGAACATCCCAATTAGTAGTTTCCTATACCGATGTGATAATAATAGACATAGAATAAGGATATTCGTAAATAGGAATCGAGTTTTCATAGTGGAGTTCATTTGGGGTTTAGGGTTTCGGGGCTAAGGGTTCAGGGTTTAGGGGTTAGGAGAGCGAAGATGCAGCCGCCCTGACAGAGAAGACAAGGTATCCCCCCCCCCCCCCCCCCAGCGCCCCGCCCGACCCAACAAATGGGGGCCTTCAGGCGGATTCTGGGACCCTGGGACTCCAGAACGTGGACATGGCGAGGAATTTGGCCCTGAAGCCTTCAAGAGCCCGAGATCTTATAAGAACATCCACGGGCCCCGAAGAGTCTGCGCAAGCGAAGAGGGCTGAACCTGAGAAGCTGCAAGCAAGATCCTCTGGAATGACGAGGCTCGGGCGTGTCGACATCCTGAAACATTTGGGGAATGACGAGAAGGCCATTGGCTTGAATATTCTGCAGGGCTGCCCTCACTGCACAGGGAGCAAAAGGTTGAGTTGCGCGTTTGTGCGAGAAGCGAGGGTTACTGTCTGTTAGTGTTTGGGCGGGGTGAGGTGTAGCTTCTTGTACATCCATGAGTCGGCTGGCAGAGTGATTTTTCCTATCATGTGGACAACCAAAAACCTGGGGCACAAGAATTTCGGGGGCAGCGATGCGGTTCGCTCGGCTGCGCAGGGTCAAAACACCTGGGAAGCTGCGCAACAGTAAACCCTCAACCTCCAAGTGTGAGAGTTGAAACCCTCAACCCTTGAAAGCCTAAAACCTAAACCCTACCTCAACCCCCAAAATATGCAAAAAAAAAGGCCCTTCTAAGGGTTTTGGGCTGTTTTTTTACATACTTTGGGGGTCCAGGTAAACCCTAAACCCTATATTCCCCGTAAACGCTTGCGACACGGGGGGGGGGGGGGGGGGGAAAAAAACCTACCTTGCAACCTCTGAACGGAAAGACGGACTCGACAGGCCATGCTTGCAGACGCCCTGATTGAGCCGGGCAGCCTGGGAGTGCCAGCTGCGTGATAAAGCTGAATGTTGTTGTCAATCATATGCGTAATATTCATACTATTCATACGAGTAACAGCGTTAGAATAGAAGTATGAACAAGATAAGTCTTTTTTTTAATGCAAGCACTACGAATACTTTTTTCGAACTTTTTTTGTGAGTTTTCATGAGCCACTTGCCTAGAAGCTCGCCGCCGAAGCACTCCAAAGCTCAGCAAGGAGTGGCTATGTCAGCTGCTTCTGCACGAAGCCACTACTTGGCTCTGTGTTTCTTCTTAAAGAGGTACCTTAGCCCTGAGGCTGCCATGTGCTCTAGGGTCTGTGTGTGTGGCAACGCCCGAACTCTTCCTTGAGACGCTTCATAGACCTGTCCGCGTCACGAAGAGACCTTCAAAGCCACCCACCCTATCAATGAAGTGGGAAGGCAGACCCTACCCTGCATAAGGGAGGTTTTGTGCTGATCAGAGCTCAGTGCATGCAAATTTCGTTCTTTTTGCGAAGCTGAAGATTGGATCCGCACAAGAACCGTTTTGTGTCTCCTACCAAGGATGACGTTCTACAAAGGTGAGACCATCATCCAGCACCTCCCCGAGTCGAGAGCATGAACCATTGGTGGACCTTTTTTGTGCAGAGTGCAGGTTCAGGGGGGAAGCCCATGAAGGATCTTCTTGCGCATGCCATTTCTGTGGGGGAATTCTTCTCAGGGTGCTGCGCACGGCCCTCGGGTATTTGAGGGCATCGTTGTGGCGTCATCTGCTTTTGGAAGCTGCTGGGGTGCTGTGAGGAACCTCAGAAGCCTTCCTACACGGACTTTCTGAAGTGGCCGGACGTTTGCGTAGAACGTGTCTAGAAGGGAAGCCATCCAAAAGACTTCAACACTCTACTTCGAAAAGTAGGGCCTTGGATGTTTCTCTTCCGAAGCCTCAGCTCTTGAACCTGTGATGAGAGCCTTCGAGCTGAGGTATCTTGGGCTAGACCTAGGGAACTAAAGAGCCGCTTCAGGGCGTTGCTGGCGCTCCTACCAGTCCCCAAGCATTCCGCAGGTCTGGTCGTGCAGAGCGGGGTCCAGTTTTTTCTTGGCAAAGCTGGTCGATGAGGGCCACGGAGGGCTACAGTCAAGGGTTCGGGCCACATCATTAATCATCACACCTGTCCTGGACTCAAATCCACATCTCGCCCCCCCCCCGCCTTCCCTGGCGCCCTGAATTACTAAACCCCCTCTTCCCGGAATGAACTGTCCAAGGCAGGGCGAGGAAGGCGACACTTTCTACATCCTCTACGACGGGCAGGCCGGAGGAAGTCGAAGTAGCCCTGGTGCAGCTGGCGCTTTCGAGACAGGCTGCTTTTTCCCGTGGGCTCCAATCTCTGACCCGACTGGCTCAGCTGGAGAGTCTAGGGCTTAGGTTGCAGGGTTGGCTTAGGTTATATAGGGTTCAGGGGAAGCTACCACAGGAGCCCTGAAGCAAAAAGGGTTTAGGGCAGCCATCCCCTGGTCATCCCACTGAGATGAGGGTCTGCCCTTCGCCTGGCCAGGTTTCTGTCCTTGTGGACAACCAGGAGGTCGCCAAGCTTCAGGGAGCCCTGTGCTCAAAGTTACCGGCTGGCTCTTAGTAGGGAATGAGGAAATCGAAGGCCCTTTGTAAGCCCTGCAAGGGTTTCTAGAGGGCCCACAGCAGACCTACAGCAAATTTTAACCTTCTCTAAGAAGTTTGATGTGCTGCAAAACGTCGCATGGGCTCCCGAAAGGCTATCTCCCCAACGCCCTGCAAACGCTCAGACCGCCAACTCCAACGCCAACTTCTTTGGCGAGCGGGCGCTCTTGAATGCCCGCGGACCCGGAGAAAAGCTGGAGAGGGGTTGAACGAGGGCATTTGATCGGCTAAGAGTGGGCCCCTGGGTGTCGAAGGTGGGTAGTGTTGTGTTTTTTGTTCAAGTTGAGGTGTGTTTGGCCCGGTACTTCCAAAGAGGTGTATAGTTTCAGAAGGCAGGCAAGCAGCGCTAACGAACACCTGGGCCGGTGGTGGACAAGGATTTCTGCTTTGGCTCCAGACTTCTACTTGGGCAGGCTTTGGCGCAGAGATCCCACCTCCCTAGAACCGAGCTCTGAAAACCTGCAGGGGGCTTGGAGAACGAACAGAAAAAAGCCCACGTACTCAAGGATGAGCCCCGCGCAGCGACGATTGTCGCGAACAGTGACAAGGCGACCGCCCTGCCTTGGCTTCTGACTGGGACCCCAACAGCAGGTCTTTTCATTCCCGAAATGTCGTGAGAGAGCGAGCGAGCGAGAGAGAGAGAGAGAGAGCGAGAGACTTCCATGTGCCTGTGTGTAGCCAGCCCCTGTCATTAAGGGTTTATCTGCTCCATGTGGCAGCCAAGAGAACCCACGCTCACGAAGGCCTAAAGCCCTGTAACTTCTGTTCTTGTGGGCCAGGGGTGCCCGAGCCGAAGCTTCCCACCCCAACTTGTGAGGGCCCAGGAGAGGATGGGGCATCCTGCAAGTAGCAGCCGTAGATTGGCGCCTCCTCCTTGAGGGTCCTGCCTGCTAGAAGTTCGGGTTTCGGGCTACCTTGGGAGAGGCTTCAACTATTGGTTACTTAGGGTTTGTTTGGGATAGAGGCTTCAGGAATGCTCGTTTGTGGCAGGTTCCTGGGCTTTGAAGTCCTATGTGCTGATTTTGAGCTCAAAATTGCCTGTGCAGAGCTCGGCCGGAGCTGCTTATCGACATACCTCCGCAAACCCTTACACCCTCCTGTCTAATTACCCCCCCAACTCTCCTATCAAGAGGACCAGCCCTGCCCGCAGGTGATGGTGCTCGCGTTAGACCGCTGGATCCTCGGAAGCCCTGCATAGTCGGCCATGAAAGTCCAACAAAAGGAAGGTTTAAGGGTTTAAGAGGTCGCTAAACTATGTTAAACTGTAGTTGCAGGGCTGTTTAGGGTATGATTGTGGAGGGTTTAGGGCTTGGGGTTTAAGATTGAGGTGTAATAAGGCCCCGTCACGGTCCACCAGGATGCGCACAGGGAGGGCGGGGCCGGCGTGTGGCCCGAGCCCCCTATAACGCCCCTATGCAATCTAGACCTCCTGTCCAAACAGCTGCGTAAGGCGAGCACTTCCTGATGGTCGTGCAGGGCCCCCAGTGTCTCAAAAGGCATATCAACCCTAATAGCCAGCCCTCCAAAACGCCCGCAAGAAGAAGCACCCAGGAACCCCGACCAGATGGTGCACGGACTGAGTAGCGCGCTCAGTCCTGCGGAAAGCAGTATTCTTAATAGTTCACTTGCTCAGTTTTGCTTTAGGGTCCAGAAGTGTACTTCGTAACTAATTGTCTAGCAAGGGGTTCAATAATCAAGAGGGGGCTCAAAGAACAGTTGCAGTTGGGAATTGCGGTAAAGCAAATCGCGAAGTGCCAGACTTCGTGAAGCACAAGGCTCGAGAAGCTATATTGCCAGCAGGCTCCAAACTTCAACACTTTGTACAATCCCGACCCTGTGAACATCTGACCGTTGAGCATCCCATAGCATTCCTAAACCTCAAAAAGCCCTTAATTTATTCAAAGCCCTAAGCTCCGACACCTGCGAGGCCCGAAGCAAGCGGTGAGCTACGAACTGAAAGCCCTGCAGTACAAGGGTCTGCTGGGTCAGGCCCTCGGAACTTCCGTAGGGGGCAGCTTTTGAATTACATGACTTCAGGGAGAGGGTTTGCTTATGGCAAGCCCCTGCACTCCCCCTCGTGACAAGGCTCAGTGAGTTTATCAATCGATGTTCAGCATTTTCCTTTGAGTGTAATTTGTTGAACTGACCCTAAACCCTAAACCCTAAACCCTAAGGTGGGCAGCTGAACCCTGAATCCCAAAAACCGAAGCCACGAAGTATCGTATCCTGAGCCCTGCAGTCCAAGAATGGAGCCGAATTGTAGGTTGAAATCCACGCCCTTAACTGCCCGTAACCTTACCTGTATAGAGTTTAAGGATATATAGGTTCATTGCCTCATTGCAATCTTACTTCCTGTGGATCCCAGCACTGCTGGCAAGAGCTGAGGCTGTGGTGGTTTCGGAACCGTCACGCTTCGCAAGCGGGAGCCCCGGCAAGAAACGGAAGCTTGGCACTCAGGGGAAGGGAGACTGTAGCCTTGATAGCCCATTGCCACCCCTTTTTTCACCTTTTGCTGGTGTTCCATTTCCTTTTTTTCAGTAACCCAACCCCAAAAAGGGGTGCCCTTTTTATAATGTGGTTGCTAGGGCCACCAAGTGCCGAAGCTCAAGCTCATGCAGTGCAGCTGGTCTTCTTGGAGGGTGGCAACAAATAACTGAAAGTGCACCTTCCTGTAACCCGAAGTGCCTACAGTATAGCAGCCATTACCCTTAAACTAATTGGTGTAGCCCATAAAACTGTAGGCAACTGGGGTTACAGGTCCTTGCGCGCACTTCATATGTTGTGGAAAAGTTGCCTAGTATACGCGAAACTATATTTTACTTCTATTACAGTATTTGGTTGAATTAATTCAAAGGCAAATTCATCATCTTGTTTGTCGCTTTTTCGCCTCCATAGTTTATTGAATGAGTTTTTTCTTCTTTGGGATTCTTTGGAACGCAAAGTTTTACATCATCATCGTTACAATTTCCCAAAAAGGCATTCGAACTTGACGCTGGCTTAGCGGTGGGGAGGCAAAGAGAAGCACTGATCGAAAATGGGCACAGCAATACAGTAGACCCTAGAGGATGGCACGGCAGAGAGAGAGAGAGAGAGACAGAGAGAGAGAATACAGCGCTTAGGACTACATGCGAAATGCAACTATCCATGCGGAGAGATTCTTCAGTGGAGTCCAGCAGCCACGAACTTTACTCGAACCCACCGAAACATTCCGAGACAACTTAGTTTCAGAAGCCTGGCAGACGAGGTGCATGCTCACTGGCAACCTCTTTGCCTTGAAGACCCTGTCCAAAGGCCGACCGGCTATCACATTTAGTAACCCCGCACCCCCACCCCCCAACCCCACACCCCGCAACCCCACCCCCGCAACCCCACGCCCGCAACCCCACCCCCCTCCTTGATTGGTTCCAGGTTCCATCTCTCTGGGAAGGGGGTTGGAATTCCCAATTTGAATAGAGGCCTCTAGCAGCTCTAGCAGGAGCCTCCTGCTCGCTTGTTTTTGTTTCCCTGCTTTTTGGGGGGTTTGTTTATTTGAGTCAAGGAAGAGGTTGTGTTGTCAATGAGAAGGCAACATCAAGCCTGCAGAAAGGGCTTGTCATTCCGAATGCAGCTGACTGCGAGTAGCTTGTAGCAGCCTGCTTGAAGGTGAGGCAGGGATGCAGCATGACAGATGCATTGCATGGTTTCCTGATGTTCCGTGGTTCAATGCTTCATGCATGCCCTCAGAAACATCCACCAGCCACCATCCAATACTTTCTTTCTCTGTACTCGTTTGTTGAAGCATGCTTTTACCTTTCCAATCCTTTGCACCCCCAAGTCCCAAACCCTTTAAGAAATACGCCACGCAGGCTACATCGTTCAGCAGCGGCTGGGGCCCCAGCTTGCCATTTTGGGGGTTGGATCTTCAGGTCCGGCGAGGGCTCTGTGCTCGGCAGATGCATTTGTTGTGTTATGATGTATCCCTCATTGGGATGACCTTGCCGTCTGTCACTCCTTGGACGCTGAGTTGCCCTTCTACCCTGCCGTCCTTAAGCAAACCTTTGCCTGCCATCCAAGTCGGGCGACCAACATTTGCCTGTCGAAAACCCACATCCCAGGAGCGACGCATCATCAATTACTTGCTTTCAGGATTAGGATGAAGGGCTTCAACCCCACACGAGGCAAGAGCTGGCCGTGATGAACGAGAAGCAGATCCTCCGCATGACCAACAGCCCCTTCATCGTCCATTTAGCGGCAACCTTCAATGGTGTCACTGGCCTGTTGTGCAGCTTCAAAGAGGGTTCGCATCAGCAATCCCATTGGGCTGAGTGCGTACTGTAGCAGCTCAGCATTCGAAGTTCCCTTGCAAAGGGCGACAGACCAATAATTTCGATCTGCCGCATCAGACCCGTGGCCCTTTGAGTCAAGCGGCCCCTGTTTTGGATCACATCAGGTTGTAGCAGAGGTCTGGGGCCCAGGCTCCCCCCAACACCCATCATAACAGCGCAAAGCATGCCTCGCCAGAAGCGCAGTATCTGCACTTCCTGCTGGAGCCCGACACTCAATCGCCCACGATGCGCAAGCCCTTGTCCGAATGTCCCAGGGTCGTAGCAGTTTGGACATCGCGCTCAGCCTGTGATTTCAAAGTTTTGGTGCGCCCGCTGAGCCGGCAGAAGCTGCTTCGTGAGGCCGGCCATGGGAGGGGACCTGTTCACTGTCTTGGGCTCGGAATCTTCGAGAGGGCTTGCAGAGTGAGGTATATCGCAGGACAACACACCCTTTGGAGCTCGCGCAATTGCCCGCATCCCTTAGCGTTGGCACGAAGGCTGCTTCGGCTCTAGTAGCATCAAGCTCTTATACACTTTGCGGCTTGACACCAGCAATCCCAAGCTCAAGCAGCCGCACTCCAGGCCTGAACCCCTGAGACCCCGACACCGTTTAGGGTTTCGGGTTTCGGGTTTACAGGCGTCAGTTCCAGTCTGAAAAAAAAGGGGTTTAGGGTTTAGGGTTTAGGGTTTAGGATTTAGGGTTTAGGGTTTAGGGTTTCGGGCCCCTAGGACATCGCAACGCCGAGGTTTACACCAAGAAGCCCTTTCACGGGTCGGCGCCACATGCCAAGTTCTACGCCTGGCATCCCAGTTTCTGCCCTCTCCAAGCTATCCCAGATTGGACCAGCTTTGGGGGCAAGGTCATGGTGAAGGAAGCGCTGCCAAGAAGCCCCGAACCTCGAAGTATCTGAATTTCCCGAAGCCCTCTAAACGAGTCCCCGTTGTCGAAACAGCATCCGGCGAGTGCAACATCAACTTCCACTCTTGCCTTCGGTCCGTGGATTCCGGGATCCTTTTTGCGAGACTCAAAGTCTCAAAGGGGTTTAGGGTTCAGGGTTTAGGGTTTCTGAGCCGCTGTGCTTTGGCATGGGTGTTTCCGGTTCCCCCAGTCACGTGATGCGCTTGTGTATCTGCTGCATCTGCTGCATCTGCACTCCCCTGTTTTCAGTCCGCTTGCGTCGTCCGGGCTTTCCAGCACCTACACCAGCGCCACATCATCTACCGCGACATGCGGCCTGCCAGCAGGGGCTCGGGATTGCAGGAATTGGGCTCCATGTTCTCATCCCTCAAGTCTGAAGTGATTTTCCACACAAACCATGCCTTTCGTGGCTCTTCGCTTCCGGGTTGAGTCTACGCAGGCCTAGCTTTCATGAAGGGTGTAATAAGGATTTGGGGCTTTTGGTCGATGGGCGCTTCGTCAACTCAACATACATGCTTTTGCGGATTTTTGCGGTCTGTTTTCCCGGAGTGCCTCAGGCTCAGAATATGTGCCCTGCCCTGAAGCGACCAGACAGACGTGGCATATGGCCAGCTTCGACTGAGCTGTGAGAGCGCACGGGGTTCTCAAAACCTGGGCCTTCAAGAAGAACCCTGCAAGCTCAGACTTGTGAATTGAGCTTTGAAAGCGGCCCTCAAGCCCTTGAATCTTTCGCAACCCAGACCCTAAGCCCTAAACCCTAAACCCTAAACCCTAGACCCTAACCCAGGCCTTGCAGCCCATTTGCTTGACTGAAGGAAGCCGGAGAACCTGCTACTGGACTCCCAGGGCTACTGCAAGGCGTGGCTTGGGGTTAGGGGGTTCAAAAGGGGTTTGAGGGTTTGGGGTTTTGGGTTTTGGGTTTTAGGGTTTAGGGTTTAGGGTTTGGGCTTCAAAAGGTGTTTAGGGGTTGTATAGGGCACACGTGGCGAAGACGCTTCCCTGAAGAAGGCTTCAAGTCTCCTGCCTCGGAGGGGCGGTTCAGCGAAAGAAAGATCACCATCCACATGATGCAGGTTACTTAGGCTCATTGCACGAAAAGCCCCAGGAACAATCTTAGCTCAATTCCTTGCTGGCCGGCCCTGTAGCAAAGTGAAAAACATCGTTTTGGCTGTGCTGACTCGACCCTTTCAAGGGCTTGCGAAAACCCCGCGTCGAGCCCGAGCAGTAGTAGCGGGTCTGCCCAACCCGATGAGCCCCCACCTCGAAACCCACGAAGCCAAGAGAAGCCTACCCCCCAACCTATTGAGCCCGATACGAACTCTCAACCGGTTCATCAAAACCAAAACCCCCAAAACTCGCTTGCGGAAGGGTGAGAGTCGAGACCCGCCTTCAAATCGATCAAAGGCAGCCAAGCTCGGAACGCCCTCCCCGAATTGCTAAGCCCAGGAAGTGTCCCTTGATATTGGCAACCGGGGGTGGGGGGGGGGGTGCAGGTGACCGACTTCGGGCTGGCCAAGTTCGTTATCGGCCTGATGCCCATCTGGATGGGGTCAACTGTAGAGTTTTTTGAATCGGCATGAATGACAAGGCTTTCAGCGTGCGTGGCTCACGGATTCCTGGCAGTGTTGCGGCATGCAGATTCGTGGCCTGTAGGGTTCTCTTTTGATGTGTTTTTTTTTTTGGTTTCGTCTCGGGTCTATGATCTTTTGCAGAGGCTGCTGGGCTCGAAGGGCTTGGCTTGAGATGATGGGATTTGCTTGGAGGCCTTCAGGGCTTCCCCGCGCTGCGCTGTGAGAGGTCCGGTAGCGCTGTTGCCAGGCCACACCTACACAACCTGTGGTACTCCGGAGTACTTTGCGCCTGAGATGGCCGGGTGGCCCTGTGGATGCTGCAAGTTGAAAGGTCTGTGTATGCTCTTACCTGCTCCCAAGGGGGTTCAGGGTTTAGGGCACGTAGATCCGAGACTCAAAGCCCTGCATGTCCTGAGAGCTTCGGAATTGTGGATGAAGGAACTTGGGTTTGCTAGCTTGGGAACTTCAGATGTCGGGCTTGTTGCACAAGAAGCTCAGCATGACACCCAAGCCTCTACCAATTGCCGAGTTCGATTTCCACTCTGGCTTCCTAAGTAGACAATTCTTAGTAGAAACTCGATGGAGCACCGGACCGCAGGTGTCGCACGTGGGTCACAACGCAGCGGTGCGACCCTCAAAGGATGCGGGGAACAGATCAAGTATTGCAGCGGGAGCTTTCGGAACAGAAGCCCTCTGAAGCGTACACAAGTGCAGACTTGCTTTTTTCCTTGCAGTTGCGAGCTCGGGGCGCAGCTGAAAAGTTGGGGAATGTCGGACTATATCCCCTCGGGTCCTGTGGGGTCAACGGGGTCGAGCATAGGGAAGCGGATGGCCTCAAGAATCAATGACTCGCATGGTTCTGAGGTTCGGTGCGTAATTGACCATCACCTGCAAACACCAACGGTTTGTCGAGAGTCTGAGCTTTCCTTTCTTTACTGAAGCAGGCTCAACCCCAAGCGGCCCCCAAACGTCTGCTCTAAGCAATGCCTCCAAACGCTCAAAAGACCAACGCCCTACATGCGCAGAAAGGCCGTGCACCCACCCTAAGCCCTAAACCCCAAACCCTATTGACCCTGCTTTGTGGTTCGGCCAGCTATCCTAAACCCTAAACCCTCAACCCCCGCTGTCCGAGCTCAACCAAACAAAGCGCGTCAGAAAGCCGCAAACAGGTGGACTGGTGGGCGCTGGGTGTAGAAGCCTGAGGAAGCTGAGTCCGGGATTAGGGTTTTAGGGCTTTAGGGTTTTAGGGTTTTAGGGCTTTAGGGTTTTAGGCTTTTAGGGATTTGAGGGGTTTTAGGGGTTTAGGCTTTTAGCCTTTTAGGCTTTTAGGCTTTCCCGCGTTTAGGCTTTTAGGGTTTTAGGGTTTTTAGGGTTTTAGGGTTTCAAGCCAGAAGGGTTTAGGGTTTTCGGTCAGGGTTTAGCAACAAGTTGACTGTTCAGTTCAGGACTGGGAAACTCTTTGCCTTGTTTTTCTGGATGGGCTGCCGCCCCTCACCGATCATTGTTTGGCAGGGACACTGCTTCCCGTCAATCTGAGAGTCCCGAAAGAGTGGCTACTATCCAGGTGCTCATCTTCGAGTTCATGACCGGCGAGACGTGCGCTGCTTAGGCAAGCAGAAGGTCTTGCACGCAGTTCGAGCTTTCTTGCAGCCCAGAAATCCTTTTGCCCCTTTTAAAGTACGACTCTTGAACGCTTGAAAGACCTATACCCAAGACGGCCTTAGACGAGCCCCCCTCGAACACGTCGAGAGATGAAAGCTGAAGCCGAGGCCTTTCACGGCCTCTGAGCCCATCCAGATATTCCGACTAATTCAGGCTGGAATTCAGGTGCGCTGGGGCGTTGAGCTGGTATTGGTGACATGCAAACTCAACCTTTGGGGGTGTTTTGGGCAAGAGCAATCATTTTGATTTTGTTCACTGCGTATTCCCTTCTTCTTGTCGCCAGTCGCCATTCATAGCCTCTGTCATGCAAGTCCTTGGCATCGCCCTCCACGTTCCGCAGAATCCGCTTTGCGGTTTAGGGCTTAGGGTCCGAAACCACAACTCATTGACTACGAAACTTGAGCAAACCCCCCCGCCCAGAAAAGATGTTGGGAACCCCGCAGCAACCGGACCCTCTTTCTGCCAGGCCGTTTACTTTCCGAGGGGTTCGGGGCCATGGGCGAACTTGGTCAAGCAACTTTGCCACGAGGCTCCCGGGAAGGGAAGCTTGGGTTGAGCCGACACCCCGTATAGGGTTTAGGGTTTAGGGTTTAGGGTTTAGGGTTTAGGGTTTAGGGTTTAGGGTTTAGTAATTTAGGGTTTAGGGTTTATGGGGGTTAGGGTTCAACAACCTAGCCACGCGCCCGAACAGCCCTAGGTAATTATCGGAGCTTGGGATATAAGAGTCTCTTATTTGGGAATATCTATGCCGCTCCATGCCCTCTCCACGATGACCCCAGCTGGCACTAAGCGCGACGACAGTCACTGCAATTTCTCAAAATGACAACCGGAGGCTTAGGATTTAGGGTTTAGGAACCAACAGCTCAAGCTCGAGTTCGATCAGCCTTGCACAAGAGGCGCCATCGGAGCGCTTGCCCATGCGAAAGGGTGGAGTGGCCAACGTGGAGGTGCTGGGTGGTCGGGGGAGCTGTTTGAAACTGTTGGGGTTTTGGTTTTTTCGTTGCAGGGCTTCTCAGTTTTGCATTGGCTGTCGTGATGTACTTGGGACCTTGAGAGGGAGATTGACTGGGTTTTTGTGTGGCAGCCATGGAACTTTGCTGTGTGTGTGTGCGCACGTGTGCAGTTTTGAGGAGGACCTTTGATCCCAAGGCCTGAGTTTAGGAATGGTTACAGAGGTTCCATCAAGCCCGGCTTCAAAAGACTCAGGGAAGGTTCCTTCGAGCTCTGGGCAGGTGCACAAGTGGTACGCCGACTTCAGCTGGTCTCAGCTCAACGCGCTTACGCTGGAAGCCCCGTGCCCCCTGGAGCTGGACTCCGGAGTTTGCAGATCTGATTAGACGTTGAGGTTTAGGGTTTGGGGTTTAGGGTTTAGGGTGCTGTTCTGGGGAGAGGTGCCCTCATGTGTGGCCCTGTCCTGAAACAGCTCTTAGCGACCCCCACAAGCTCAGCCTGGTGCACGAGGCGGTTTCTTGAAATCCGAAAGCCAGGTACATCCCCCCCTCAGGGGCAGAGAGCCTTGCCAACTTCGACGACCCATCCTCAGCTCCCTTGTTGGGTGATTTAGGGTTTAGGGTTTAGGGGTTGCAAAAGAGTTTAGGGTTTAGGGATCCTTGGGGGCAACTTGAGGGCATCCGCCCCCCCCTCCAACCCCCTGGAGCGGTGCCCATGCTGTAGTGCTGGATGCAGCAACAGCCGGTCTGAGACCAAGGGCTGTGGATTCCTCAGCTAGAACATATACGCGTCGACAACAAAAGCAACAATGTGTATACACAGGTCGAATACCTGTACATTCATTTATGCCTGTTGATACTTCTCGTGACTTGTATTCCGTTTTGTATCTAATATACGGGTGACTGTACCCAGCAAGACCCCCAACGCGCTTCAGCGAATGTTGCGGGCAGGTGGAGCAGGTCTCGCGACCGCCCTGCGTGGCCTACAGAGACCCAGGTGGACACCTCCTTCGCTCTCGGTGAGGATAGTTCCGGTTGTTGCCTTGCCCCCACTCTAGGCTGCCCGGCGGTTTGCACAAGTTGTTTTCGGGTAAGGGGTTCACTTAGGCTTTGCCTTGAACCCCCAGACAAGTCGAGCGGCGGGATTTCAGGATGCCACCACAAGGAGTGAGGGCTTTCGCATTGAGGGCTCAGAGTGTTTTGAAAGACTCGGCCGCTGAATACCATGTACCAAAAGAAATAAAGTCAATGAGTGACGAGTCAATCAGAATGGAGCGCAGGGCTGCCATTTGAGATATCGTGTGTTGCACGTGAGCCTTTCTTCGCCAGAAATCGCCAGTCAGCCTGGGATTCCCAGCCGCAGGTAGCAAACCGGAACATCGAGTCATGTTCAAGGTTAGGGGCATATGTAACCGTGACAGGTTTTGGGTTACAGTGACACAGACCATGCGTTACAGGGACAAGCTCGTTATAGGTTAACATGACAAGAGTCAGTTCTTACGGAAGACACACACTGCAGCCATTTGGGCTTCCTTCTAATTGCCTCCCAGGCAGGCCAGGGCGTAAACAGACTAGGGAGCTGCCAGGGAAGCTAGTCTGTTTACCTCCCTTCTTGCCCCTCAAACCTCCCTTAAGCTTTTTAAGGTCTCCAAGGCTTACTAGGGCCTCCCAGACAGGCCAGGGCGTAAACAGACTAGGGAGCTGCCAGGGAAGCTAGCCTGTTTACCTCTCCCTTCTTCCCCCCTCAAACCTCCCCTAAGGGTCCTTTTTAAGGTTTCCAAAGCTTACTAATGCCTCCCAGGGCATAAACAGACTACGGAGCTGCCAGCTGTTTACCCCTTCTTCCCCCCTCGAACCTCGGTCCTTTTAAGGTCTCCAAGGCTTACTAGGGCCTCCCAGACAGGCCAGGCGTAAACAGACTAGGGAGCTGTCAGGGAAGCTAGTCTGTTTACCCCCTCTTGCCCCTCAAACCTCCCTTCAGGGTCCTTTTCAAGGTCTCCAAGGCTTACTAGGGCCTCCCAGACAGGCCAGGCGTAAACAGACTAGGGAGCTGCCAGGGAAGCTAGTCTGTTTACCCCTTCTTGCCCCTCAAACCTCCCTTAAGGGTCCTTTTTAAGCTCTCCAAAGCTTACTAGGGCCTCCCAAGCAGGCCAGGCATAAACAGACTAGGGAGCTGCCAGGGAAGCTAGTCTGTTACCCCTTCTTCCCCCCTCAAACCTTGGTCCTTTTTAGGGTCTCCAAGGCTTACTAGGGAAGCTAGTCTGTTTACCCCTTCTTCCCCCCTCAAACCTCGGTCCTTTTTAAGGTCTCCAAGGCTTACTAGGGCCTCCCAGACAGGCCAGGGCGTAAACAGACTAGGGAGCTGCCAGGGAAGCTAGTCTGTTTGCCCCTTCTTCCCCCCTCAAACCTCCCTTAAGGGTCCTTTTTAAGGTCTCCAAGGCTTACTAGGGCCTCCCAGACAGGCCAGGGCGTAAACAGAGCTGCCAGCGAAGCTAGTCTGTTTACCCCTTCTTCCCCCCTCAAACCTGACTTAAGGCTCTCCCAGACAGGCCAGGGCGTAAACAGACTAGGGAGCTGCCAGGGAAGCTAGTCTGTTTACCTCCCGCTTCTTCCCCCCTCAAACCTCCCTAAGGGTCCTTTTTAAGGTCTCCAAGGCTTACTGGGGCCTCCCAGACAGGCCAGGCGTAAACAGACTAGGGAGCTGCCAGGGAAGCTAGTCTGTTTACCCCTTCTTCCCCCCTCAAACCTCCCTAAGCGTCCTTTTTTAGGTCTCCAAGGCTTACTAGGGCCTCCCCAACAGGCCAGGGCGTAAACAGACTAGGGAGCTGCCAGGGAAGCTGGTCTGTTTACCCCTTCTTCCCCCCTCAAACCTCGGTCCTTTTTAAGGTCTCCAAGGCTTTCTAGGGCCTCCCAGACAGGCCAGGCGTAAACAGACTACAGTAGGGAGCTGCCAGGGAAGCTAGTCTGTTTACCTCCCCCTTCTTCCCCCCTCAAACCTCCCTTAAGGGTCCTTTTTAAGGTCTCCAAGGCTTACTAGGGCCTCCCAGACAGGCCAGGGCGTAAACAGACTAGGGAGCTGACAGGGACCGCTTCTTCTTTCAGGGTCCTTTTTAAGGTCCTTTTTAAGCTCTCCAAGGCTTACTAGGGCCTCCCAAACAGGCCAGGCATAAACAGACTAGGGAGCTGCCAGGGAAGCTAGTCTGTTACCCCTTCTTCCCCCCTCAAACCTCGGTCCGTTTTAAGGTCTCCAAGGCTTACTAGGGAAGCTAGTCTGTTTACCCCTTCTTCCCCCCTCAAACCTCGGTCCTTTTTAAGGTCTCCAAGGCTTACTAGGGCCTCCCAGACAGGCCAGGGCGTAAACAGACTAGGGAGCTGCCAGGGAAGCTAGTCTGTTTGCCCCTTCTTCCCCCCTCAAACCTCGGTCATTTTTAAGGTCTCCAAGGCTTACTAGGGCCTCCCAGACAGGCCAGGCGTAAACAGACTAGGGAGCTGCCAGCGAAGCTAGTCTGTTTACCCCTTCTTCCCCCTCAAACCTGACTTAAGGCTCTCCCAGACAGGCCAGGGCGTAAACAGACTAGGGAGCTGCCAGGGAAGCTAGTCTGTTTACCTCCCGCTTCTTCCCCCCTCAAACCTCCCTAAGGGTCCTTTTTAAGGTCTCCAAGGCTTACTGGGGCCTCCCAGACAGGCCAGGCGTAAACAGACTAGGGAGCTGCCAGGAAGCTAGTCTGTTTACCCCTTCTTCCCCCCTCAAACCTCCCTTCAGGGTCCTTTTTAAGGTCTCCAAGGCTTACTAGGGCCTCCCCGACAGGCCAGGGCGTAAACAGACTAGGGAGCTGCCAAGCAAGCTAGTCTGTTTACCCCTTCTTCCCCCCCTCAAACCTCGGTCCTTTTTAAGGTCTCCAAGGCTTACGAGGGCCTCCCAGACAGGCCAGGCGTAAACAGACTACAGTAGGGAGCTGCCAGGGAAGCTAGTCTGTTTACCTCCCCCTTCTTCCCCCCTCAAAACCTCCCTTAAGGGTCCTTTTTTAAGGTCTCCAAGGCTTACTAGGGCCTCCCAGACAGGCCAGGGCATAAACAGACTAGGGAGCTGACAGGGACCGCTTCTTCCCCCCCCAAACCTCCCTTCAGGGTCCTTTTTAAGGTCTCCTAGGCTTACAAGGGCCTCCCAGACAGGCCAGGCGTAAACAGACTAGGGAGCTGCCGGGGAAGCTAGTCTGTTTACCTCCCCCTTCTTCCCCCCCCAAACCTCTCTTAAGGGTCCTTTTTAAGGTTTCCAAGGCTTGCTAGGGCCTCCCAGACAGGCCAGGGTGTAAACAGACTAGGGAGCTGCCAGGGAAGCTAGTCTGTTTACCTGCCCATCCCTCTACAAGCGAACCTAATGCAGTTGTGGCTCCTGGGCTTGCGGAAGACAGGCGAGCATACTGCTTGTCATGGTAAACATCAAAACGCGGGCCGTGGTAACAAAAAAACTTGGCGTGGTTACAAATTACACCCGCTTGACGTGGTTACAACCCGCCCTCCTCGTTCAAGGTGGTTGGTGGCTTTGGTTTCCACAGGGAGGAGGAGTGGGATGACCTCTGGTGACACTTTTGAGGGCTTTCGTTCTCAAAGCGCAGCATGCTCGGCAGGCACTGGCTGGGACAGGACCTTTGAGGATGTGAGAGGCCTTTCCTTCAGCGGCTGTTCTTGGACATGACAATGTAGATATATATATATATATATATATATATATATATATCTATACATATATATAATATATAATATGTATACAGGTATACATATATATACAATAATATATATATATATGTAATAAAATATGCATATATAGTCCAACTCTCGAACCCAAAGAGGGGCATCTTGGTTGGATCCAGGCTTCGCAATCTGGGGTCAGTAGAGAGTTCACCACCCAGAGAGATCCAGCGAGTATCTTCTGGAGTGCCCAAACCCCCCAACAACAAATCCCGCAGGGCGCCTCCTGTGGTAGCAGTTTTTAAGGTTGTACCGATGCAGCCCTAAACCCCAAACCCTAAACCCTAAACCCTAATGCGGGAGCGAAAAAAACCCTAAACCCTAAACAGCCTTGTACAGCGCCAGGCCCCCGAAGCTTCAACCGCGAGTCGAGTTGCTGAGGGCCTCGCGGCCGGGCTTGGGGGGGGAATTTCTCTCTCGGTTGCTGCTGTTGCGTTTGACCTTGGGATGTTCACCCTTGGACTAGCAGTCCTTAATGGAGATTGTAGTACCCCCCTATTTTTATCCCCATGAAGGACTGTTAGTTTTCAGGGGGAACATCCCAAGGTGTGGCCGTTGAGGATTCGGGTTCAAGATCTGGCGAGGGGCATCTGGGACGCTGGTCTCGCTGCGGCTGGTCTTTCAAGGGCAAGGGTCTCTCCCCAAAGTCTCGGCGCCTGAACTCCCTAAGCCCTAGGGCCCTAGGATGAGCTTGGCCCCCCTTTTCCCACCAAGCCCAGAAGAGTCCATCCTTGAGGGCGGGGGAGGGGGTTTAGGGTTTAGGGTTTAGGGTTTTGGGCAACAGGTCCAAGCACATCCGCTGGTGGCCATGAGCAAATGAGAGCCTGCAACCTCGTTCAGCCTGCCCAAAAACAGCCCAACAAAACATTCTGGTTCGAAGTTCGGGGGTCCAGAGCTGAGTAGACTCACAGGGGCTTCTAGGGCAAATGGCTCCCTCATCGTCTCCACAAAAAAAGGGGGCGGCAGAGTTCGGCAGGGAACGGGCATCGCGGCGCGGTTCCTGCCTGGCCTGTGTGGGGCTCCAGGACTTCGAGGCTTTGGAGTTCGCCCCCCCGCCTAGGCCCCAAAGCCCGTAGCCCTGCACACTTCAAACATCTTCAGGGTTTAGGGTTTAGGGTTGAGTCATCAAGTCCGGATGCAAAAATGGTTTAGGGCTTAGGGTTTAGAGCGTCTGGGCGGTGCTTAGGGCGCAGATTTGCAAATCGGTGCCGGGGCTTCCATGTTGAGCAGCGTGGCTTGCCGAGGGCCAGTCGCAGCCAAGCTGCAGGAACCGAGCATTCAGGTAGTTCAGCGTTGCGAGCTGTGCAACACATCGCAACGAGTCGTTTTAAAGTTAATGCAGCGACGGCCCAAGCTACGAAACCTCAAAACCCTGAGCCTGAGAACCGTCGAAACCACAGCTCCTGTTGCTGCTAAGGCACCCCCTTTTTTCCTACAGTTTCTTGGGCTATACCTACTAATTACGGGTAATCACTACTATCCTGCCACCCTCTAGACCGCCTGGCGGAAACCCTGTGTGCCTCAGAGCCATTTGAAGGCTTCAAGGGTGCAGGGTGAGGGGTAGCGGGCGGCGCAGTCCTGCATCGTTTGCATGAAGAGCAAAAGGCATGCGAGCTGAAGCCCCATTTGGAGTTTTGAGGGGTTGAGAGTCTTGCCTGACAAGGTTGAAAGGCTTACCTCAACCCCAAAATATGTAAAGTAATGGCCCTTCTAAGGGTTTTGGGCTGTTTTTTTTACATACTTTGGGGGTCCAGGTAGGGCTTGCAGGGCTTCCGAGGCTTGGGTCGTTCAGGGCTACGGGCTAAGGGGGGTCGGCATGTCTCGGTTCATGGCGCTGCTGGCCCCGAGCTAGCTTGTGCTGTTCGTGTAAGGCTGTACAGTAGCTATCAGTGCCGGTCCCCAGAAGGGCACTCTATTTTACCTACAGATTAGTAGTGATTACTCTTAATTACTAGGTGCAACCCACAAAACTGTAGGAGAGGGTCCCTGGCGATCCCCATCACCCCACGATCCGCCATCTGCGCGCGCTTCGGGCTCACAAGATCGACCTAAGCAGTTGAAGTCCAGCCTGGGTGGAGAGCGAAAGCACCGCTTGCCCCCAGCTCATTGCGTGGCTGGGATGGCATTATCGGGCCCCTTGCTTGTGGCACTCGTGTTCGAGTGAGCATGCTCATTTTTAAAGTGTGCACGTGGGCTGAAGCACCTCAGGAGCCGTTAATCATACACGAAGTATCCTGGAGGGTTGCACTCATCAACTCGGGGGTTGAAAATCTTGGAAAAATGCAGAAGCTGCGGGTCCCCGATGTGCGTGGGGAAGCACATGCAAAGCAAACAGTTGTGCGAAAGCTCAAGACACAGAGGTCGCAGGTCAGGCTTGCGTCAGGGCAGAGGTAAGCAGAAGGCCCTCATCCAGCTTGTGAAGCTTGCATGGCCTTCTTGCTTGCCGGGCTTTCTACGGAAAAAAAAGGAATGTCAGACCCAACTTAAGAGTGAAGGTGGCATGGGCATCGGGGGCAAACCCGGTGCAACCAGGGTTCAGCAATAAGGTTACAAGGACCCCATGCTTCGCGCCCTTATGCCGATCTAGCTACTCAAGTCTACGCCCAGGCGGATCTCGACTGCAGGCCTTGAACCGCGCGTGGCGGGCGGTGACCTCGGCCCTTGTCCTTCTTGCCTTGAGGGGGAGGGTTATGTACGGTACGGCATGTATAGATGGACTCAGAGAATCGGCGTTGCTGCTGTGCGTAGAATGTGTACAGAAGTTAACAGAGGTAGGGTGTAGTCGTAGGAGGTCTTGTGCTAGTTGGATGCATGCACCCTAAACCCTAAACCCTAAACCCTAAACCCTAAACCCTAAACCCTAAACCCTAAACCCTAAACTGCGGCTTGGGGTTCTGGAGGAACGGACGGGTATCCAGTGTGCCCCTGGCACCCCCAGGCAGCAAAGCCGACATGGACAAAGAAGCGAAAAGGCCCAGAATCGTTTCTTCTCTTTTTTTCTGGGGGTCCATTTAGTCATTTAGGAATCTTATGGAATAAGGTACCCCGAAACCCTATTTAGTATGGTTTTGTGGGTACCTGATTCCAGAAAAATAGTACTACAAATGGAACTTCTGGGTCTTTGTCGCAAGGAGATAGGGACTTGCGGCAAGTCAGATCGGGCTTGAGGATTGCCAGAACGTGTGTAGCATGGGCCTCCGACCTCCAGGAACCTGTTTCGTCGAAAACCGAATCATTCGCGGGACAGCACGGAGTAATCGTGCGAGATGCACCGGCCTGCAGCATAACCGCAATGCAGGCACGTGTCATTTAGCGACGCCCATGACAAGAAGGCGCGGAGGACGTTGAAGTCTGTCTCTGGCCAAGCGCTGTTGTAAGTTGCAAGTACTTAGGTACTTCAAACCACCCCTAGTTTCGTAGCAGACAAGACATGCCATGCACGAAGAGGGGCGAGACAATGTCAAAGAGCCAGAGCCAAAGAACCCAACCCCCCCGCAGCTTTGTTTACATGACGCTACCAGGCCTCAGCAAAGTCTCACAGCTTCGAGTGTCATCATCCGCCCAAACCGGTGCAGGCAGACGACAACAAGCCGGAGCCTTGAAGCGCGCCAGGATGAGGGGCGGGGACCTCTCCGAAGTTTATGAAATGAGTGCTGACCCCTCCAGAACTGGTTTTCACAAGGGCTTTAGGGCTTTTTGTAGGGTTGGAACCAGGCCCTGAGTTTCAGAAGATATCTCACCCAGAAATGCAGAACACAATCCTTTTCCCATACCCAGATCTAGGCTGGAGGCAATGTCTACGCAGCTCAAGACATGCGAGCAGACAACCCTAACTCACAGCAAGCACGAAGTCCTGAGGATCTCAGCTGGAAGCATGTGTCCTCGGAACGTACTTAATTCGAAGCCTGTCGGTTGGAGCATCCAGCACAGATGAATCCACAGCGCAGCAAATTTCTCCTAGATGGCCCGGGCTGCCAAGCAGCAAGTGCTGGATGCCGTGCCCTCACTCCAACAGCCCGACGCCTCCGCGGATATCTTCCAAGCCTTCCTGCGACATCGCCTCCTACACCTGCCGGGAAACGTGGCTGTGTTTTTCAGAACCTGGAGATCCCACAACCTACATTCTTGTGTACTAGTATCGTTACATCTACCTACTTCGTCGATTCCTGGGTTCTTAGGGACGGTCATGTCGCAACAGCTAAAGGAGAGTGTAGGGTATAATAGGGCCCTTAAGGGTGCCACAAGGACGTGCGGAAGTCCCATGCCATGTGAGCGCCAGGAAGCCTCCCGAGGACCGCAGCGGCCAAGAAGGCGCTGCAGGACCTGACCCTAAACCCTAAACCATGAACTCTAAACCTTAAACCCTAAACCCTGAACCTGTTAAAAAAAAAAGAACCTTAAACCCTAAACCTTAAACCCTAAACCCTAAACCATGAACCCTAAACCCTAAACCTTAAACCCTAAACCCTGAACCCTGGAGCCTCGCCAGCGTGTACGCCAGTGTGAGAGTCGAAGCCCTGAACCCTAAACCCAAAACCCTGAACCCTAATGGACCTGGGCTCCGCTCTCGGCCGAGGCCGTGAAAATTCTTAAACCAGCTCTCTTTTTTTCTGCAAGTAGTGCTGTGGCTGTACCCGAAATGCCCGTTGAACCGCGTCACGCTTTTTAGGGGTTTAGCAGGTAGAGATGCAGAAAGCCGAAGACTAGCCTGACGCCCCCCAAGCTCTGTGTGAGTGGAGGATTACCTCTCCGGTACCTACGAGGGAGCTGCTGCACGGAACTGGACTTGTGAGACCTCTGGCGCCTCACCGCAAGTCGCGAAGGACTGTGGCTATGGGCTAAAGGGGTTGCTCAGTGCCCGTCCGTCTTGCTTAACGTTACGCTCGGAATTGTTTAGCTGGTTACTGCCAGGGCAGCCTTGTCGAAGCCCGCCAAGATCGCATTGGCCAAAACACGGGCAAGACCGTAAGATTCAGATTATTCCTGCACATATTCATTCCTCCCTTGTTCAACCCTGAAGCCCTCATGCTCCAGCAGGGCGCTGTAGAATTTCAGCTTGCCACACAGGAGGCACTGGCCGGCGCGCGGCCGGTCAGTCAGGGATGGTATGGCAGCTTTGTGGTGGAGGGCGAGGCCACTCGGGCCGTCTCGTCCTTCTTTTTTCGTCTTCAGATCAACATGCAGCCGAGTTGGCACGTCTAGGCTCATAGCAGAACATTGCTGAAAAACCGCAGGACAAGTCCGTTGAAGAGTTGTCCAGTTGTCCAGAGGCTAGGGCAGTAGTCAGGCTGCAGAGAGCCTGCTGGCAGCCTTCACTGCCATTGGTGTGGGGCCAAGCCCCATGGAAGCCTTGGCAGCAAAGTTTTCTGCGGTTGTTTAT